ACAGTACATATTAACTGTGAGCTATCATGACTTCGTTACCCAATGGTTAAACCTGATCAAAAAATCTATAATTCTAAAATTGCCATAAGGGCAATTCTTTGGATGAGTGGAATTTGAAAAAAATGAGCTTTCATAATCCAATGTCAATGAGTTTTGTGTCAATCAAATGTTTTCTTTAATTTCATTTTACTACGAAGGAATAATAAGCCTGAATTTTCGTAGATCATCAAGCATAATTAAATCTTTACAAGTGATCTATTGAAATGTTACAACTCACCCAAATTAAGTGAAAAATTGAAAAAATATGTTTGAAAATTTTGTATTTTTTCACGGATTAAGACAAAAAAAAGCTTCTTTATAACTCGATGACACAAGGAAATTTTTCAAAGAATTGAAATATTTCATTAATTACTGACTTAAAGCACACAGAAAGCAACCTAATTAAAGATTTTTGTCTGTTCTATAGATAACTCATTAAAAGTTATTCAATGTTAATTTCAATAGTTTTCTCTAATTTTCGATTCTTCGGATGATGAAAATTGAAAATTCCGATTTCTGTTATCGAGTTATTGACAAAAGTATCCAAATAACTTAATTAATACAGCGATTAGAAGTATATGATATCAAAAGGAGTGTACATTTTATATTTTTACATCGATAAGAATCATAAAATCAGTGCCTCTGATGGGAAAAATCAATAAAATTTCGATTTTTTGCTGAAAATTTTCCAAAAGTCATCCAAAGAATTGCCCATAATAAGCTACACTGGAGAGAATTTTGAGGTTACAAGGCGTTTGTGTTAGAATCCCTGGAAAAATTGATCAAATTTATACTGAAGATCATTCATATCACTTCCTCTACAGGGCTAGATCTCTATCCTAGCCAAGAAAACAACCAACAAATATGTTTAAAACATCGTAAAAACTTTGAATCTAATCAAAAATTAGATGTGCCAATAAATTAAACCAAAAAGCCTGCCTTAATTCGCCTCATTTATCCATCAACAAATCATAACAATTTCCAACTCGCTTCAGTTTTATTCTCAAATGTGCTGTTTCAAAATATTCATCTAACACACTCATTAAAGTGCCTGATAGGATGAATTTTAAAGCAGACACACATACGTTTCAAGCATCAACATATGTTCGAATGGAAAGCGTTGAAAAATTATGTTGTTAACATTAGATGTCACTGTAGAAGCAATAATCAAGTCCCGATAAAAGTGGAGAATTTTTCAATTTTAATGATCCACGCATTTCATTCGTGAGCATTGATTTTTGTTTTATTCTTCGTACCCGACCCGTTAAGATCATGTCTTTTTATCGCGGAAGCATTATTTTGGCTGTTTTTCTTGCTCGCACTTCAGAAATTGCACTTAAACAGCCGCACACAAATAAAAAAAATTGTTTCGTTTCTTCTCATTTTTCTGTTGTTTTCCTACAACTCGTCAATGTTAAGTTCAATGAACCTTTATTGATACAAATTCTTTTTTTATTTTGGCTAAAAAGACTACAGAAAAAAAAAACTTTCTTGCGTATGTCCATAATATTGAAATGAAAGAATTGATTTATATCAGCACAGCTCTGGATCCAGCAAAGAAAGCTGTTCATCAATGTCAATTCTCAATAAGAAACGGATAGAAATTTATTCACATGCTGAGATGAGACACAAATTTGCATTTTATAAACGCACATAGCAATAATACTTGGTTAAATCAAGCAACAGAAATGAAAACAAACAAATGGAAGCCGAAATAGAGGCGATCTCATTAGAGAAAGCTGCTTATAAGCTAATTTTGTTCGCTTTGACGTTAATAGATATTTTTTGACACATTGGTTGACTGGTTTGCTAGTCGCGTCAAATCTCATTAATTTTGGCATAGTTTTTTTAGATGATTTGTGCTGAAATTTGAAAAGACTATGCTGAGTTTTTGAAGTTGTAGCTTAAAACCATTAAATTTCGAAATTTGAATTTGATTAAAGTTCTGAATTTTTTTAAAATTTAAGGTTTTGAAATTCATAAAAAAATTAAAATAATGATTCAAATATCTTTGAAAACTGAATTTTTTAAAACTTCATTAAAAAGCAGAAATTTTGAAATTTGAATTTTCTTAAAAATTAAGAATTTGAATTTTAATTTAAATTCGAATAGAATTAGGGTAAACCATGTTAAAATTTGTGCAATGTTGAAATTTGTGCGCTCAAATTAAATGCAAATCTTCATTAATAAGCCATTTATACTGAACATTTGTATGTAGTTCTATATAAAATAGATGTCAAAATGTTTCTACCTCATTTAAGATGATCTTGAAACCTTAGGCAGCTCTAAATTTGAAAAAATCAAAACCCCATACAAAATTTTAATTTTTATCTTTTAAATTTTTTGGACATAACAAGTGCTTCTAAATAGCATAAAAGAGATGAAATATCGAATTTGAATATTGTTTAATCATTTAAAAATGTTTCTGGCCATAAAACGCCATTGGAACTGCTCTAATAATTGATTTTTAAATCACAGGTTTTTAAATGTTGAAATTTGTGTAAAATATTTTGACAAATGTTAAACTTTGTGCGTTTTGCATCGTAGCAAGCAATGACACATTTTGTCAACAATAAATATTATTTTTGTATGAAATTCATGTTTTTAGAAGTACAAATGAGAAATAGCATGATTGGAACTCCTCAAAGTTAAAAACCAAAAGTTAAAAAAATGCGTCTCGTTCAAAACTGTAGAAAATATTATGAAAAACTTCGAAACCTTCAAAAAAATTATTAATCTCCCCAAAGCATTCATATGTACATCCTCTTTTTACTTCAATTTAAGATAATTTTTAAAAAACATAATTTTACCAAATTTTTAAGGTATTGTTTTATTTTAACTTTTAATCTATACACTTCACTATCTATCTGTATGAAATTTAAAAACTTGCAGGACGTTCTTGCTTTATGAATATTTTACTGTTTAATAAGCTCAGTCAAAATTAATTAAGTTGAATCTTGTATCTTGCATGCATCTTAAGAAATAAATTAAAAACAGTCAGCTGAGTAGTTCTTATTTGGTTTTAATTTGATTCAGATATTTTCCTTGCCACAAATCGCGATTTAAGTTCCAAAAAATTGTAAACAAAATGTTTGTTTACATTTGAGAATTGAAATTATGTCAAAGTTTGCTATCAAAAAAGTGCACAAATATCAACATTTTTTCGAACAAATTTTAAAATTTTCCGCACAAATTTCAACATTTGACCAAAAATAACAAAATTCTCTTCCCATAAGCAGCACATCTTTCATAACATAATGTAAAATGAAAACTCCCACAAATTGTGATCTTTTAAGTTTATAATCAGATTTTCATTATCAGCCATTAAAAAGTTACATGCAAATCAAATCTTCATGTGCAAAAACACACAAATTTCAACATGGTTTACCCTACATTAGAAATTCTGAAGTTTGAATCTTTTTAAATTCTCTGAAATTCATTAAAATTTCAAAAAGTCAAAAAATGAAAATGCGTTCAAGATACTTTATAGCAAATAAATATCAACAAAACAGTTTTTCATTCAGTTTAATGTTTTGTTTATTTCCGTCCTTCTCACCATGCCATGACCAACATCTTACAAGAAGATACATCTATATTTGAAACACTTTTTTATGCTAATTGATAGTAAAATCAAATCGCGATTCACATTTTTTTTATTGGGGCACTGAGGTTGGCAGCCGGTTTATCAGTAATCATGCAGAAGACCACTCATGTGGAAAGTTTTATGCGCTTTCTAGTAGCATCATCATATTAAAATAGTGATAAAAGACCACAAATTTATATTTTTTGATGGAGATGACTTTGACCTTTTTTGAATGAACAGTTTAGGAAGAGAAATGATACCTGACAATGAATCTAGTAGGTATGTCAGTAAATATAGTTTTTTATGCAAATGATCCCTCAATGTGCTAAGTACGGATAGGGGAATTATTTTGCACATTGAGGGATAATTCAGGTAGAAAAATAAACGTTTGTTGGAAAATTTGCAATCATTCGATGGCTCGAGTCTAGAAACTTTACTTACAGTAGATGTTTCAAGTTCACTGTTGCACCGATTTATTGATTTTTTCCTCCTTTCTATTCCTTTCTTCTCTCGAATAAATTTTATTTTTTTGATTAAATCGCTAGCTCTTCTTATTTTTTAACTTCACTACAATTTAATTAACTTTACTTTTTTTTCTCGTTTCAAATCAGTGAGCACAAAAGGCATTAAAATAGTGAAAAAAATTGCATAAACACGAAAAATTCAGCTTTTTTATTACTTTTTCATATGAACATTACACTTTATCAGTAGAGCGAGATAATAATACTAAGTTATAGCTTTATCAGGGTGCCAGTATTAATTTTATGCATCAGTTTATTCGATTTTAAATCTTTTGGGATTAATAAAACACAAAAACAATGCCGAATTTCTGATTTTCTTTTAAATTAAGTGGATATCCACTATTCTATCCAATAAATTGCTGTTTAAATCACTTGAAAATTAGTCAATTTAATTAGGTTTTAGCTTTAAATTTGGGTTTTTAAGTTTAAAAGCACTTTTATGTTAAAAATATTAAATGAAATACAAGACACGAATTTTTCATTCACGCGGATAAAATTGAACTAAACGTATCTGAGAAATTTCGTTGTTCAATGCCTGTATTCCTCTCTATTTGCTACATAAACTGCTCTATCGACTGAGAGAATTATTTTATGTTGTTGTTTTCATTGCCCTTGTGAAAAACTGTGTTATCTATACATTTAGCATGATTTTCATATTTTTTCTGAATGACAATTGTTAATTAAGATATTATCTTCAAGTTTCAACATTTAAAAACGTGTATTCGCTTAATTAAAGGAATAAAACTCATTTTGCTTAAAATGCGTTTGCATTTTTCAGTCTTCAAGCTTCTGAGGGTGTAAATTTCAAATTTGAAAAATAACAGTCATTTCTGAGATGAACCATTTCTAAGATCCCTGCCTCTCAGAACAAACGCATTAAAAGAAGAATTTTAAAGATTTATTAATTTATCTTAATTAACGTAGATAGGGAGCCATGGGAACCCGAAAATGTTGTGTCAAAGAGTGCACTTCAGAGGAGGGAAATGAAGGAATCACTTTTCATCGCTTCCCTCAGACAAATCATGAAAATGCAGAAAAATGGCTAAAAGGTAAAATTATAAAGTTTCGAAAGATCCAGTAAATAACAAAATTCAATTATTTAAATTGTAGCATGCAAGTTTGAGTCGAGTTTTAAGCCAAATAAACACAGTTTCGTGTGTTCACAGCATTTTCGTCGAGAGAATTTCACAATTTTACAATCTGGCAAAATAATTCTTAAAAGTCTTACAGTTCCATCAATATTTCCATGGAATAAAGATACAGTAGTTGTCACAAAAGCCACAATATCAATCGCTTCAGATGGAGAATCGCCTGATAAGAAAAAGAAGCCAGAAAAATCAAAAGACGATACAACAATTACCGAAAAGATTAAGGATGAAACAGGATCTCCGAAAAAGGAAGTCACAACGCCAACAAAGATTGAGGAACCACTAAAAGCTCAAAGTTCAAAGAAGAGAGGTTGTAATGCTAAGAAAAAGGAGATTCCAAAGCCTTTACTTTCACCAGAAAAGCCCAAAAAGTCGTCAAAAAGACTTTCTGCAAAATTACAACAAAATGAAATTCAAGCTAAGAAAGCTAAAGTTGAAGAAACAGAAGAAGAATCTGTTGATACACCAGTTACAGTGAAATCAGATCCAATTGTATCTACGCCAAAGAAAAAAAATCTTATTGTCAACTTTATTCCTGGAAATACAATTGAAGCTCAAAATTTCGACGGAAAATGGATTCCTGTCAAGATTATTGAAGTTGACACTGATGAAAGAGAGGTTCTAGTCAGATCTGCAGACAAAAATAACAAGGCAAAGGCAGGGTAAGCTTTAAATCAAGATTTGATCCATAATTTTGAATTTTAACGAACTTTTGAGATTCAAATTTATGAAAAAAATTCAAAACTTTAATTTCCGTTAAAGGGTAATTCCATGAGTAATGAGAACTGTGAAAAAGCACTTTACAATATTTCTCTACTTGTAAAAATTCAAATTTTCCAAAACCGTTATAATTTCTCAACGTTTTGTTGTTTATACAAGTGAATAAGCCGCAATATCAGCAAAGAGAGATGGTTCAAATATATATGATCTTTAATGTTTTGAAACTTTAGTTACTTGCTCAATTAAATCAAATAAATCTAATACTTTTAAGTAAAATCAAGAAAATCTAACGGTTTTTGTGAATTTGAAATTTTTTTCAGTGTTCTGTTTTGCAATAATCGGTCAAAAATTGACCGATTAATGCTAGTTTTTTTGGTTTTTCTTCTTAATTACAGCATTAAGGAATGCAAATTATACATAAAACAAAAACCTGGCTAATATCTAATATGTTAAAAGTAACTTTGGAACATAGAAGTGTGTATTTAAGTAAATATTAGGAAATGTTTAGAAAACGATTTTTCGAAAACTTGACCGATTAATTTTACTTTTATTAAAAAAACAAAAATTAGACATATTTCTGATGTGAAATTCTCACATATGGAGATAAATATTGTGTTAATAAACATAATAAAGTTACAATTTAGAGTACAAAGTTCTTAGTTAAGGAAATATTTTTGAAAAATTGGTGCACCAAAATTTTTTTCACTCATGGAATTACCCTAAATTGAACCGATTTCTAATTGTTGTTTGTTTTCAATTTCAGAATTAATGATGAATGGATTTCGATGGATAGTCCACGTTTAAGACCAGCACAGCCAACAGTGACGTTTGAAGTTGGTGAAAAAGTATTAGCAAGATGGAATGATTGCCGTAAATTTCCTGCAACAATTAAAAGAGTCTGTGAAAATGATTCTTATGATGTTCTCTTTGATGATGGATATCCAAAAATAGTGCGAGGAATTCATATTCACAAATATTCAGCTAAAAATGCTCCAAAAGGACATACGACAGAACCTTCACCAGTTTTAATTAATCCATTATTCCTAAATCCACCAAGTTTGATTCCTGACTATATAAAAGAAATGAAAGACCTTCCAAAAGGTCCTTCAGAAGGAGAATGGTGTTGTTTATGGGTCGATGATATTCCAGTTGGTGAAGAATCAACATTTGATGGAACACACGGCAAAGTTCCATCAATAATAATTCCAGATTGGCGAATTAAGGATGGATGGCAAAAACACATATATTTAAGACAAAATGGGAAGTGGGATGTGCTATTTATAAGTCCAACAAATCGAAGATTGAGGTTCAAAAATGAATTGAAAGCATATTTAGCTGAGATTGGTGAAATTTATGATCCAGAAATTTGGGATTTTAGCCTTCACAAGAAAAGATCAAAAGCTTTAGATCTGTGCATTCAATCTGGCAAATTTAAGCATCAATCTATGCCTCATTCATTTCAAATTAAGAACCAACAATCAGCCGATGGAACATTATTCAGTAATCCATTCGCAAATCTTGGAGCTCTGCCTTATGTCCAGCCAAATCTCGTTACAGCAGCTCCAATTCAAACAGAAGTGTGTGTTGGATCATTAAAAGTTAAAGTAATTAATAATAATTATCACTGTCCAGGCAGTTCATGTGACAAAATATTCAGAAAAGAAAATCATTTACAAATTCACATTAAACATTATCATGAAAACTTGGCTAAACTTATGGGTGAATGTCCAAATATGGAGGATTTAGCATATTTAAGAACGACTGTAGATGAGGCTGAAATAACAATGGTCAAGTCTAATAGAAAGTCAAATTTAATGAAAGAAAAGTCAAAAACACGACATGAATTTAATGATTCCTTCAAGGAACCGCATGTAAAGTTGGAAAATATCTCGGCAGAATTAAAGCTTATTGCTCAGCGATCACCAATTTTAGAAGAAGCTTTAAAAGCACCTTTGATTACGAGTCAAATGACTCCAGTCAAAAATGAGTCGGATTTGGACAGTAATTTAGAATCAACACCAAATTCGTTCGATCCTGAATCTCTAATTCCACCTTATTCAGTTACTCGTCCAAATCTGAAAGCTCACACAAGACGCAAAATGAGGATAAGGTAAGAATTTGCTTCATTAATCATTTGTAATTTTAACGTATGGGCGATTCCACGGATGAATTTTTACAAAAAAACCGACTTTGAATCAAATTTTCCCTCAAACAAATGACTTTATAGCTTCAGTCTTAACACTTACTTATGTAAATCACCGAGATCTATCTTTATCTATAATTAACTTTTGTCGTCAAGCTTTAATTAATGAAATATTTAAATTTTTGTCAGCGTTGGTATATTACACAATGTTGAATTCTGAGTTTGATACAAAAATATACGACTTTAAAGACATCTAGACAACTATTAATGGTTGTTATACCGTTCATTCTATCCTTTTTTATGATTCTGCATACTTAAATTGGCTTGAAAGGCACTCAATTGTCAGAAAAATGAATAATTATAATGCATTTCATGTAATATACCAACGCTTAAGCCAAATCCGTGAGAAAATGATTTTTAAAAAGCAAAGTTTTACTTTAATTAACAATTATTTCTTTGATTAGAATGTTGTTTCTAAAAGTTTAATAGTCAATGAAGATCCTTATTTCGTTTTAAAAAGTGTAAGCTTAGTTGAAGTATATTTTTGAAACAATCAAATTTTTAAAGAACATGGATCAAAAATTTATTTTTTTCGAAATTCAACTCATCCGTGGAATTGCCCGTATTCTTAACTTTCGAATATGTGACCGAAAATTTACAAATTTCGAAAAACCGACCATTTTTTCGAAATTTTGAATTTTTACCGTTAAATTTATCCTTTTAAATTTTGATTTTCCGCTACAATTCAATTTAAGATTTAATCCAAAACCAAAGAAGCATGGCCAGAAGAAGCACAAATTTGACTATCAGAATGGAGAAGGTGTATCGGCAGTTGAAGGTGTGATTCCATACAATGAAGGGCCGTACTTTAAGAATCAACAGCAATCAAGCTATATCGATGAAAATGGTGAAGTCATTAAAATTGTCCGAATGAAGAAGGAAGAAATAATTAATTGCGTTTGTGGATATGGCGAGGAAGATGGATTAATGATTCAGTGTGAATTATGCTTATGTTGGCAACATGGAATATGTCATGGATATGAAAAGTCTACTCAAGTACCTGATAAGCATGTCTGTTTAATCTGTAAAAATCCGTACAGACAACGGACATCTAAGAGATTCTTTCATGATCAGGATTGGTTGTATGATGGAAAATTGTCAATTGCCAATTATCATCTTCCAAATCCTAAACAAACAGCAAGATTTGATACACTTAAGAGTTGCCATACCTTAATTGGAAATTTGATTGAAATGAAAAAGTTCATGAATAGTTTGGACGTAAAAATGAATATTGCTGAGAATATTGAGCATCCAAAAATGTATTTATGGGCAAAAAAATGGGAACAAAGTCCACCAAGAGAAAGTATCGACAATAAGGATGATATAAAGCTTGGAGCTGATATTAAGATTCAGTCTGTGGCACCAGAACCTGAAGCAGCAATAGAACCAAGGAAGTGTCAACAAAATCTACTGGATCATATCCAAAATCAGCAAAATACAGTCAAGATGCGGTTGGATAACATTGAGAAGGAAATTGGCGGTAAGTTTGGGATATTTAATTTTAATCCATCGGATTTATTGTCAATCCTAAGATATAATTTAATCCATTGAATTAAATTTTTAAACTTGTTTCAATTTCAGTTCTTGAGGACGAAGGGTCATCAAAAATTCTCAATGGGAAGAAACCAATCGATGACAGCACATTGAAGCAAACTCTTTACATGCTCATTAATGATATGAAGCAAATGAATGACTTTTCAGACATCCATAGAAATCCAATTGAAGAATCTTAAAAAGCCAGTTTTAATGTAGGATAAAGTAAGTGCTTTATTTATTCACTAAGATACATAATGGTAAAAAGAACAATAAAGTTTGTACACACTCAGAAAGTTTGAAAGAATAAAATAATGTTCAAATGGAGATCAGAAATTTAATACAATTTTTAATGTGATGTAGACATACTGAAGATTAGAATCGTTCACGATTTATTTCCTTTTAAAATTAGTTTTTTTTTTATCGACCACCCACTTCCCTGTAAAGTCCTACAACCCTCTTTTATTAAATAATGACACACCTTATTTTCTAATTTTGGAAATCATGAATGAACGAAGCCTTTTTAACGCATTTTCCTGTACGATAGTACAGTGGGGGAAATAATTATAGGCGAATGGATATTTTCAAAATTCTCGAAAATATAAGCATTTTCAGAAAATATGTTCTATGTGAAATTTGTGCAGCTTAATATGACGAATATCCCAGCGAAAAAATTTTTTTAATTATATTAACTAGAAAAAAATAACGGCCATTTTTTGAAAAATATGTGTTTCGCAATTGGAAATAATTATAGGCGAATTTTGAAAAAAATTGTAAAATTTTACTTTAAACTTGAAATTCACTTGAGTTTTCAATTGATTAAGTTATTTAAACATTGTATCAATCCAATTTGACATTATACGCACAATAATTAATGATTTAAATATATAAAATTTGGTCTTGAAATTAGCAAGGAATAAGATTGCAAAAATCAATGTTTTACGCCAATTTGGCAACGATAACTCCTCGATTGCATATGAAATTAATAGATTTTATTGCAATTAACGTAGCTCAATAAAAATTTGGTGAAAATGTAGCCAGAAAAAGGAAAAATAAAGAAAATTTTTGATCACATGGCCAATACAAAATGAGAAATTTTTAAAATTTTCTCTCAAACGAAAGTTTTGGCTACAAACAATAAGCAGTTAAGTGCCTTGCTGGTCGAATAGGTAAGGCGCTTGGCTCAAATTTGGGATGGTAACTCGAAGGTCGTCGGTTCGAATCCAGCCATTTCCAAATTTGTTCTTTTTCGGAAGTTTAGATACTTCGACTGCTTAATGTACGAGATCAAGCCATAATTGGGCATTTGGGCAACGTTGGATTAAGGAACGGGTCAGGAACTTGAAGTGTAGCGGGAGAAATAGGAACGAGAGCTACAAGATTACCCACGAATGGAATATTGATAGAACGGACCTGAAAAGTATCACGTAACGCCTACAGAAGATCGAAACGAGAGCCTTAGTTTATTTGAAACCTAGATATGAAGATTAGAAGTTTGATCCTACATAATACTAATTCATATGTATACAAATACAAAAGTGTAAAATGTGAATTATTTCCGGACAGTATGTCGTCAATAAATGCAATAAAGTGCAATTAAAATGAAAAAAAAAAAAAATGATTTCTACTTGCTTTTATCATATCTATGTTTTAAAGATGATATTAAAAAGATTGAACAAGATATATTTGCAAAAATTGTAAAAACTTTGGTCAACTGGAACACATGACCTAGCAAAATCTTAATTTGTTAAAAAAGTTATAGAATCCGCAAGTAAATGATGCAAAGAGACATTCAATTATGATAATAGACAAATTATGTAATAACTGATAGTTTTGAGTTTTATTAGGATCATTTTAAAAGCTTGCATTAAACGAGAATTTTATAATCATGCACTTATTCGTAAATTGCGTTTTTTTGCAAATATATTTTGTTCAATCTTTTTAATATCTTCTTTAAAACATAGATATGATAAAAGCAAGTAGAAATCATCCTTAGTTTGTAGCCAAAACTTTCGTTTGAGGGAAAATTTTAAAAATTTCTCATTTTGTATTGGCCATGTGATCAAAAATTTTCTTTATTTTTCCTTTTTCTGGCTACATTTTCACCAAATTTTTATTGAGCTACGTTAATTGCAATAAAATCTATTAATTTCATATGCAATCGAGGAGTTATCGTTGCCAAATTGGCGTAAAACATTGATTTTTGCAATCTTATTCCTTGCTAATTTCAAGACCAAATTTTATATATTTAAATCATTAATTATTGTGCGTATAATGTCAAATTGGATTGATACAATGTTTAAATAACTTAATCAATTGAAAACTCAAGTGAATTTCAAGTTTAAAGTAAAATTTTACAATTTTTTTCAAAATTCGCCTATAATTATTTCCACTTGCAAAACGCATATTTTTCAAAAAATGGCCGTTATTTTTTTTCTAGTTAATATAATTAAAAAAATTTTTCGCTGGGATATTCGTCATATTAAGCTGCATAAATTTCACAAAGAACATATTTTCTGAAAATGCTTATATTTTCGAGAATTTTGAAAATATCCATTCGCCTATAATTATTTCCCCCACTGTATTTATGAGCCTTCTAGCTCTTTATTTTTTAACGGATTTTTTAATTTTATAAAGATATTGATATCAGAGATTTTCTGCCAAATAATTTTCAAATTTTAAATAGACGTTAATTTTCAATCAAAAATTCTATTTAAAAATTTTAAATTTCACTGGATTTATTTGATTCTGTTCTAGGAAAACGCGCTTAATCGTGAACTTAGTTAATTTTAAGCTAAGGTTTAATGACTGGATCCTCAAACATTTCATAGACTGGCTCCAAAGCTTCAAGTTTTGTTTTTACTTCTTCCATCTCTTCGGGGCTTAAATCTGAATGATTTTCTGTAACATGAACCTTTAGCTTCCTTTTACGAGTATAATTGGTTTGACAACCAGGCACGACGCAGTAAAACTTGATCTTAGGCTGGTCTATGTCTACGTGACTAACATTCTCATAAATTGGCAATAAATTTCTGACTTTTTCTAATAATTCAGCATATTCTTCCTCGCTGCAATCTATATGTTTAGCTTGAATGTGAATCCTGAGTTTTTCTTTTCTTGAATAGGAACTTGGGCAGTCAGGAACCACGCATGGGAATTTAATCTTCTTATGCTCAACATTTATGTGCCTGCTCATGTGACGCTTATTATAATGCTTGCCACAATAAACACAAGGAAAAACACGCTCTCCAGCCACTGTTGACTTTACCAGGACTTTTTTACGAGCACTATCAGAGGTATTTTGTTCAGTTTTCATCTCCATTTCTTCTAGCATGTTTGATGGATCATCAGAATCATTTGTATCGAATGGATTTGTGTCTGAATAGTTAAACTGATCAAAAAATTGATTGTGGAATTGAATTTCGCCTTCTTCAAACTGCTCTTCCTTAATCTTTATTTCTGGTTCTATCTCAATACTGCTGTGAATTTCGAATGAGCTATTAGAAGTATTTTCTGACACTATCTTTTTCGGAGTGATTTTTCGCTTTTTTGCTGGCGGTTTTTGTATAATTTTTACTGGAACTGCTTTATGGATCGTTGTATTAATGAATTGAGGCACTGATTTTGGTAAATCGCTCTCAGATTCCTGGATGTCATGTATATTTGGATTAATCTCTGATTTCTGAGTCTCAATTTGAATATCTTCTATCTCTGAATATAATTTCTTTTGATTCTCAACAAACTGGAGCTTAAGAGCTGTAGCTAGCTGCACAGATCGAAGGCAAACTTCACATACAACTTTTGATAATCCTTCCATAAAATCCAGTTTAATTTGTGTGAGACTTATAAACTGACTCTTGACTTCCTCATCAATCAGAGCCATTTTTTCGTTCGGCTGAATAGTTTTCAAGCAGAACCTGCAACTAGAAGTAAATGATCTCGTTAGTTAAGCTATAAATTGAAGCTCGAATAATTTTTTTTAACAAAATTCGAGCCAAATACGAAAAGTTTAACGATTTACCCAAAAATTTGATGAGTCATGACTTGATTGTATCAAATAATGAATTAATTAACTTACCCAAAGCTGGTGAAACTCATATTTAAGTGATTTAAGCTTTCTCAAATTTTTGTTTACAAATACAAACCGAGATGAGGAAACTTTTCAACTGTCAGAAATGTAAAAGGTGCTAATAGTTGTTATTTGACAGAGTGTCCATCAAAACAATCTGAAGGGATAGAAATTTTACCAAAGGCACCAAATCTTTGGCAAATAAGTCACAATAAAAGACATAAAGCGCATTAAAAGATCAATAATGAAAACAATGTTTTTGTCCCTTAATATCTATAATTCGAAGCTACTTCCAATGATTCCTAAATAATGAAAAACATACAGCAAATCCATAGAATAATTTAAATTCACTAAGTTAATTTATTACGATGATATATATATTTTATACTACAATCAGATACAGTTATAATTAATAAATATAGTATGTAGTGTTAGATAGAACATTTAAGGAATCATGTGTCTTAAAAACGTCATTATTCTTATGAAAATACGATAATATCAATCAATAGACAAATTCACTAAAAGTAGTCAGATTTTTGTTTTTTTGTACGATTATGAGTTCTTGAATAAGTTAAAGAATGCGTTTCACATGGTTTGATTCATTGACGATTTGCCAGCCTCTCTTAGATCCGACATAAATCCCCTGACATTTTCCAATTCCATAATTCGTCTCCTCTCCAATTCGAGTCCCCTAAACAGCGAATCTCGTTCATCAAACATGTCATTTATACCATTTGAAGTCGATCCAATGTCATTCGAAGTTCCTGCATCATTTTCTTCTTTCTCGTCCTGGTTCTGGTTCATACTGTCATCTCCTGTATTTTGGCTGTCATCAAATACTTCTGGAACTTCATTCCCGTATACTGGCTTTAAGACTCTTAATTTATCAATCATTGCTGACATCTCTTGTGGCCCTAAATCAGCATGACTGACTTCAAGATGCTTTTTCAATCGCTCTTTACGGACAAAAAATTGCTCACAATTGGATACGACGCAGATGAATTTACATTTCATGTGGGCAACTTCTATGTGCCTCAGCATATGAGGTCTACGCTTATAGAAATTTTTGCAGTGTGGACATTGAAAACTTTTCTCGCCCACGGCATTAAGCTTTCTTTCCATCTTTGGAATGTTAAAGGAACGAGTAAATTTTGGTTTTTTGTCTTCTTGTTCGCTCAACATTGTGGGTAGTTCTTCATAATTGTATGATTCGAATGGTTGTTCCTGCTTTATTTTAAAAGTTGATGGTCTTATTGTTTCTGGAGCTTCAAATAGCTCATTAGAATGGACTGTAACTAATGATAATGGGTCAATATAGTCGTCATGTCTAGGTTCCCTTTTTCGCCTCTTTGTTATCGGTTCTGGTGGCTGTATTGTTGGTGATTCCGATCGATTTGAGTCATTTTCATCAGAATCGTCAACAAAATAATGTAATTTTCTCTGATTTTCAATAAACTGCAATTTTACTGCACTCGCTAGTTGCAATGATCTAAGACATAGCTCGCAAATGATTTGAGACAATCCACTGCCTGATTCCAGCATTAACTGAGTTATACCAACGAATTGATCTTTAATTTCATCGTCAATTAATGCCATCCTTTCATTGACGAGCATTTTTTTCAAACAAAATCGACACCTTCGTTGAGACATTTATGATCAATAGATTGTTTAATATATAATATAATTAATTAAGACTTACTCGTTATTCTTGGAACTCATTTTATGTGAAAATTTTGAATTTAACTTAATTTTTTTTGAATGTTTTGAAAATAAAGTTTCTGAGACGACACAATCTTTATCTTTAGAAACTTTTGTTTCAAATTTTTTCCAACCGTTATCTCTGATACTTTTCAAAATGAAGTTTAAATTAATTATCAGCTTTTCTACGTCTACTGGATCATTGAAGATCATTGCAAAACCATTATTAATGTCCATTTGCTGCAATTTTAAGTGCCATTGCCTCATTTTCAATAAAATTTGTCCCAACAATAACAGTCAATCATAATTTGAATTTTTATTATTTCAAGAATTCTTTAAAAATTACAAAATCTGAGAATTAAATAATTAAAACGATTTTAAGTAACATTTCCACAAGTGTTGCGCATTAATAAACTCTATTGCTAAAGGAACCTGCTCATATTAAGTCAAGACATCATGTATTTCAAGCACATTTCAACGAGATTTTTCCATATTTCACGAGTTCTTTTAGCCGATAAAAATTCATTGGCAGCGTTAAGGAAGAAAACTGGATATACGTTTGCTAATTGCAAGAAGGCACTAGAAATGCATGAGAATGATTTGACAAAGGTAGGATTAAATCTTTTTTAAAAGATCCAGTAAACTTAAATGATCCAGTTTTAGGCAGAAAATTGGCTAAATGAACAGGCAGAATCAATGGGATGGTCAAAAGTAACAAAGCTTGAAGGAAGAACTACACAACAAGGACTAGTTGGAGTGTTGATTGAGAAGAATATTGGAGCTTTAGTTGAAATAAATTGCGAAACAGATTTTGTAGCTAGAAATGAAAACTTCAGAGAATTTGTAGAGAAGGCATCAAAGGCTTGCATTGATTATGTTAAGGATGTTAGCGGAAATGACGTTACTAAAATTGCAATTGAGAGCGATGCATTAAAGAATCTGAAATTGAATGATGGGAAGAACTTGGGTGATCATTTGGCACTGCTAATTGGAAAAATTGGTGAAAATACAGTCTTAAAACGAGCCATTTGCTATAAGACAGCAGATTCAATCAAGCTATTTGGTTTCACTCATCCAGCACCAGAAAAACTAGAAGACGGAAAAGTACTATTTGGAAAATATGGAACAATTGCAGCATTTAACAGTAATACAGAGAATACTGAAGCTGTACGTGATGTCTATAGGAAAATCTGTCAGCATATTGTTGGCATGAATCCTACGCATATTGGAAATGCTGAAACAGATAAGCCAAATGAAGTCAAAGACGAAGAGAAATGTCTAATATTCCAAGAATTCATCCTTGATCCAGACGTAACAATTAGCGATATTCTACAGGAAAATGACATTAAGATCATCGACTTTCAGCGTTTTGAGTGTGGCGAGTCAGCATCAATTGTTAGCAATTAATTAGTAGCAAAATAAATTTGAAGAACTTTTAGAGATGTGAAGAACTTGAACTTTAGATTGCATCGTTGTCCACAGAATTTAAAAGGCATAAATCAGGTCGTTAAAAGTAAGGTAAAGTACAAATTTTTTTATTTGATCACTAATATGATCATTAATTGCTCGTATAAAGGAACAGATATGATGACTTTCTTGGAAATTGTTGAGAATGTGTAAACTTGCTAGTCCCCTTCATACAAATATTTAGTCTGTTTCTGATCACTGAAGAATAAACATCGTTGTTATTGAATTAAATCCGTGAGATTAAACTTATTTTAAGTACCCTTAAGTTCATCTTTTATTATGCTCTCGACAAGTTTAGGGTTTGTTTCAGGATGTAACATTAAAATATGTTCTCGACAGTTTCCTTTTCTTCTAAAATCTTGCCTACACAGTCCACAATAAAATTTCTTATTTTCATGTTCAACCTGAATATGTAAAGTAAGATGTGAGTCCTTGATGTAGGTTTTATTGCAATGTGGACATTCAAAGTTCCGCTCTTTAAGATGAAATGTTTCCATATGATATTGTAAACCAAATTTCTTAAAGAAAGGTTTATCACATAAATCACAGCTAAATCTCGGTTCTTTATGCTGCATCATGTGTGCATGCAGTCCTGGCTTACTTTGGAATCTTCTGTCGCATATTGGACATGAAACAGCTACTTTTGCAAATGATGGATCATGTAAAAGTTTGTGTCGTCTTAATGTCTTCATTCTCATGAAAGTCTTGCCGCAGACCTCACATTTGAATTCTGGTGATAATTTTCTAAAATGTAACATCTGATGTTCCTTTAAAGTCTTTTGACTGCTATAAAATTTATTGCATATATCACATTCTAGCTTTTGCATTGACTTGACATTTTGGATCTTTAACATTGATTTCTCATTCTTTTTTTGCGAATTCTTGGTCTTCTTTTCATTTACTGGATCTTCTGGTTCCTGTTTTATTGTCATTACATTTACAAAATTTATTGATGAATCAAATCCAGTTGAAACGTTTATGTCGGGTTCCAAATGAATCATTTCTTCAAAATCATTTTCTCTGTAAAACTTCTGTTGATTCTCAATGAACTGTAATTTCACAGCACTAGCTAAAAGTAATGATCGCAGGCATAATTCACAGATAGTATTTGAATGAGATTCTGTCAGTATTAGTTCCATTTGAGTCACATTTGTGAATTCTTCTCTTATTTCTTCAGTTATTTCATGGAATTTTTCATTTTGATTTAGATCTTTTAAGCAAAGACGACAGCTATAAGAAGAAAATGTCTTATTGAAAATGGAAAACAGTTGAGAATCATACATACAGTTCATTTCCACTCATCTTTCGAGGTTTCTTAGAATATTTTTAAAGAAATAAGTTTGTTCAAGTTATTGTTTATGTTTATAGACTAATAAGTAACATCATCTAGGTATTAAAAAGGGGAAAAAGTTTTATCATCTTAAACAAATAAAAAACTTCGAAACCAAAAATTATCATGAAATTTTATGATCTGGTTAGGGATTTTTTCGTAAGCTACCGACCCTCTTTACTAGGCAATTATAACAATTTTTTTTCATTTTAATTGCACTTTATTGCATTTATTGACGACATACTGTCCGGTAATAATTCACATTTTACACTTTTGTATTTGTATACATATGAATTAATATTATGTAGGATCAAACTTCTAATCTTCAAATCTAGGTTTCAAATAATCTAAGGCTCTCGTTTCGATCTTCTGCGGGCGTGACGTGATACTTTTCAGGTCCGTTCTGACAATATTCCATTATAATGTAATCTTGTAGCTCTCGTTCCTATTTCTCCCGTTACACTTCAAGTTCCTGATCCTTTCCTTAATCAAACGTTGCCCAAATGCACTATGGGGCAAAATTGAAAAAAAGCGGCAATTAAGGAAATTTTTGAACAGTTTTGAATTACGCTTTCAGGATTATTTGTTCTTGTAGAGGACATCAAAATTGACTTCTATGCCAAATTTCAGGTCATTTGATGCTGTTTTTACAATTCTGTGGCTGTTTGAAGTTGAAAATGAGTGAAAATTTTGATTTTTTCACGTCTTATTTAAACTGTCACATCTTTTTAATAATTAAAGATATTAAGAAACGTTTTTCAGTTTCTAATAGTGTCATGTAAGAGCTTTGTTTTAATAATGTACAAAATTTGTAATTTTGTAGTTTTGGTACCAGTATGGGAAGAAATGTGTGAAAATTCTATGAAAAATATATTCAAGTATGCCGCAAAGATCTTAAATGGCCACTTTTCAGTCATATATGTACACTGTGTTTAAGCCTCTGTCTTCTAGTTTTCAAAAATGTATAAACATCAAAATTTGTTTGGTACACTTTTGAGATAAATTGATTTAAATAAGTAGTAGAATAATTCAACAAAATATAAAATATCTTATAAAAGTTACGAAACAACAACAACAAATAAGTTTTGTGTTATTTTTCGATGACAAACAATATTTAGAGACAAATTGCGAAGAAATTTTTTCAAAAAGCTCAAAATCTGCCGAAATATAGGGTACTTTTCATATCTGACGACTTGTATGGTTTTCGCATCACTCAAACTGCTCTTATTTTTGTGTACCTCAATATTTTTTATTTCTGTTTACAGTTTATTGTAGCTTGAATCTAGACCTTTCTAAGGATATATAATACTTTGTAGTTTAGTATTATCTTGGTCATGAATTCAGGACTTGTTTGTGAACGACCCTAAACTACAAAAAATCTCAAAACCGTCATTTCTAGAAGTATCAATTATAAACAAAATTACTTATTGTTTTTAGGTTTTTTATAATGATATATGATATTTATGACTATTAAAACTTAAAAAAGTGTCTTTCATAAACTTTTTTGCGATTTTTGTGTTTTTACCTATTCTGGTTGCGGTTCAGTATGTTTTCTGATTCACTAAAATGGCTAGAACTTTTTTCAGAATTAATATTTTTGCAATCTGTTTTCGATTATTGCTAGATTAAATCAATACCTTTAAAATGATGCATAGTCCTTGCATGAAACTTTGTTATAGTTACTCTTTGAGTGCATTGAATGAGACCGACGAAAACTGGTCTTTATTAAAACATTCAAAAATTACATTTTAGCAAACAAAAGTACTTAAAACTTGTTTATTTTGGCTCAATTATATTAAAATATAAAATATAAATCATTAAAAATCTTCAAATTAGTCTAATACTGAAGTAATACTGATCAAATAGATACTACTAGGGTCGAACTTAAACAGGCTACCTGAGATCGCAAAAAGTTTATGAAAGACACTTTTTTAAGTTTTAATAGTCATAAATATCATATATCATTATAAAAAACCTAAAAACAATAAGTAATTTTGTTTATAATTGATACTTCTAGAAATGACGGTTTTGAGATTTTTTGTAGTTTAGGGTCGTTCACAAACAAGTCCTGAATTCATGACCAAGATAATACTAAACTACAAAGTATTATATATCCTTAGAAAGGTCTAGATTCAAGCTACAATAAACTGTAAACAGAAATAAAAAATATTGAGGTACACAAAAATAAGAGCAGTTTGAGTGATGCGAAAACCATACAAGTCGTCAGATATGAAAAGTACCCTATATATCGGCAGATTTTGAGCTTTTTGAAAAAATTTCTTCGCAATTTGTCTCTAAATATTGTTTGTCATCGAAAAATAACACAAAACTTATTTGTTGTTGTTGTTTCGTAACTTTTATAAGATATTTTATATTTTGTTGAATTATTCTACTACTTATTTAAATCAATTTATCTCAAAAGTGTACCAAACAAATTTTGATGTTTATACATTTTTGAAAACTAGAAGACAGAGGCTTAAACACAGTGTACATATATGACTGAAAAGTGGCCATTTAAGATCTTTGCGGCATACTTGAATATATTTTTCATAGAATTTTCACACATTTCTTCCCATACTGGTACCAAAACTACAAAATTACAAATTTTGTACATTATTAAAACAAAGCTCTTACATGACACTATTAGAAACTGAAAAACGTTTCTTAATATCTTTAACAGAGTTTGAAAATAAAATGAAAATTGCTCTATTTTGAAAATAAATCAAAATAAAAATTATGAAAATTGCCAATTTTGATCAAAGCAATTTTGCAATTTTGTCAATTTCAGAAAATTGCAATTTTGGAAATTGCTTATTTTCCAAAATTGCAATTTTGGAAATTATCAATTTTCAATTTTGTGACGTCACAAAATTTCTTCGGGAATTTTGTATGAAAATTTTCATATGAATTGATGACTTTATGCTTGAGACTTTCCTTGATTTTTAATCAAAACCATTATCAGCAATCATAGCAGCAAATGATGAAAATTAATAACGAATCATAAGTACTATGCTATATGAGATATCCCATATGGAGCTGGTTATGTCCAACTGACTGGAACTGCCAAAAAAAATTTTATTTGTTTTCTATACTTTTTAGACACTTTCAGGCATGGGGTGGAACCAGGCACTTCCTCTACTTCCAGATCTGATTTTAGGTGCTAACTATACCAGGGAGGTTCCAAAAAATCAGGTTAGCAAAAAAGTTCGGAAAATTCAACAGTTCCTCTCCCCTAATAAAATTTACATCGAACATGTTTTTCATACATTTTCAGAAATGAATTTTTTTTTTTGATAATCATGTCTGTATGGTGATGCAGCATTGCTGATACTCAATTAACAAGATGATTTATTATTAAATAAAGGATCTGTTTTACTTTGATGTTTTTGCATTTTATTGCTTAATTTCCAGTTTTCTTGAATAATCGTGACATAAATAGTTTTGAAAATTAAGTCTAGAAGTAACGGAAGTGCTTAGTTCAACTCCATGCCTTAAAAGTGTGTAAACCTTCATTAAAAGTGTTAAACATTTTAAAAAATTTTTTTGCAGTTCCAACCAGTTGGATACGACACAATGCATGTGAAATATCATAGATATTAATGTAATAATGTTTTGACATTCAAAAATTATGATTATGAGCATTATGAGTACCTTTAATTTAAAATAAACTTAAAGGAACAACGCATCAAACACGCAGGAATTAGCAAGTATTAAGTTAAAAACGAATATCAACATCCAGGAAATAAACTGTATCTTTTGTTTTTCTGAAGAAAAAATTCATTTAAAAAGAAGAAAATTTTCATACAAAATTATTCATCAAATATTTATGACGTCACAAAAATAAAAATTGATAATTTCCAAAATTGCAATTTTGGAAAATAAACAATTTCCAAAATTGCAATTTTCTGAAATTGACAAAATTGCGAAATTGCTTTGATCAAAATTGGCAATTTTCATAATTTTCATTTTGATTTATTTTCAAAATAGAGCAATTTTCATTTTATTTTCAAACTCTGATCTTTAATTATTAAAAAGATGTGACAGTTTAAATAAGACGTAAAAAAATCAAAATTTTCACTCATTTTCAACTTCAAACAGCCACAGAATTGTAAAAACAGCATCAAATGACCTGAAATTTGGCATAGAAGTCAATTTTGATGTCCTCTACAAGAACAAATAATCCTGAAAGCGTAGTTCAAAACCGTTCAAAAATTTCCTTAATTGCCGCTTTTTTTCAATTTTGCCCCATAGTGAAATGCCCAATTATGGCTTGATCTTCTATATTAAGCAGTCGAAGTATCTAAACTTCCGAAAAAAACAAATTTGGAAGGTTGGATTCGAACCGATGACCTTCGAGTTACCATCCCAAATTTGAGCCAAGCGCCTTACCTATTCGACCAGCAAGGCACTTAACTGCTTATTTAATTAAAATCCTGCAAAAGGTCTACAAAAGCTTTTTATTCGGTTAAGAAAGAGATTTTATTATTAAAGTATGAATAATCACTAAGTATAATAGTAATACTTTTTTTTTTTTTTTTAAATTAAACTTTTTTTTTATTTACATTTAAATTTAAGTATGTACAAAGTTTCTATACATTTTGTTGCTTTTTGTTTTAAGGTTTCAGGCATTCAATTTGCCTTTTGTCTCTTAATTTTGATTTCATTTACGGATTTTACTTTCTTTTGTATTTCATTTTATTTATTCGGTGTTTTGAGATGCAAGACGACTGTTGAAGTTCGCTTGCAACTTTCCGACGTAGTCTTCGATGGACGGTATTTTCGCTTCTGTATGAAGATCGGTGATCCTTTCATATCTTGTTTTATTGAGAACAATTCTCAAGAATTTGTTTTGCAGTACTTGAAGTTTTTGAAGATGGGTTTTTGCCATGCTTCCAAACGCTGGACAACCATATGTGAATATTGGTCTGATGGCTAGCTTGTAGATGAGAAGTTTGTTTCGTACGTCGAGTTGTGAGTTCCTGCTGATGAGCGGATAAAGCTGTCTTAATGCGGTGTGAGCCCTATTGGTCACATACTCCACATGCGGCTTTAATGTCACTCTCTTGTCGATCACCATTCCCAGATATTTAGCTTCTGTTTCCCATTTGATGTTTTCGTTGAGAAATTTGATGTTATTTCCTGGTAGTTGCCTGGAGTGCCTGTTTGTGATGAATAAGGCTTGAGTCTTCTGTTTGTTGAGGTTGATCTTCCATTTGTTCATGTATTGTTGAACTTTTCTTCCTGTGTGCTGTAGATGTGTCACAATATCGGCCGAGTTCTCTGCAGAATGATACAGTGCTGTATCATCTGCGAAAAGACCGATGTTGTTGGTTGTCTCTCTTACAACATCATACGTGAAGATGTTGTAGAGAGTTGGTGAAAGCACTGCTCCTTGTGGCACTCCGAATTTGATTACCTTGATTTCTGAGAACTGACCTTTAATAAAAACTGCGAAAGATCTTTCACTGAGGAAAGATCTTACAGTTTTTATAAGTGGCAGTGGAAATCTCAGTTTGAGCATTTTGTACAAGAGTCCGTTATGCCAGACTCTGTCAAATGCTTTTTCTACATCCAGGAAGATCATGCCTGTTGACTTTTTGTTGTTTAAGTTTTCTTTTGCTGATTTGATCACTTTGATGAGCTGGTGAGATGTTGATCTTCCAGTCCGGAAGCCGCACTGCTGGTTTGGGATGATGTTGTTATCCTCAAGATGATCGTTGATTCTATTCAGTAATACTCTCTCCAGTATTTTGCTTATTGAGCTGAGTAGACTTATTGGCCTGTAGCTGCTTAGCTCATTTGCTGGTTTTCCAGGTTTTGGAATAGGAATCACTTTTGCATGTTTCCAGACTTTGGGGAAGTGGTTGAGTTTCAGACACGAATTGATGATGAATTTCAAGTATTCGAAACCTTTTTCAGGAAGATTTTTGATGAGTATGTTGTTGACTTCATCTAGTCCCGGAGCTTTTGGATTTTTCAGATTTCTTATGATGCTCACGATTTCGTTTACATCTGTTAGTTCTGGATTCTCATCATTGTCTTGTTCCAATGCTTCTTTGACTGTGTTGTTTACTTCCTGTGTATGTTGTGGATCGTTTTGTTCCAGAGGATTTTCGTGAGCTTCACGAAAATACTCGCTGAGTGCGCTGGCTTTTTCCTTGTTGGTGATGAACGTTTTACCCAGATTTGTCAATGGAGGCATTGTTTTTGAACCTTTTTTGCAAAATTTTGCTATTCTCCAAACTGTTTGGTTTGACGGTTGAATCTCTGAGAGACGCTTATTCCAGTTTTTGTTTTTGAGTTCTTTAATTTTCTCATTGATGACTCTCTGCAGATAATTCAATTCAGATTTGAGTTGATTATCTCTGCTTCTCTGCCATCTTCGACGAAGACTCCTTTTTGTATTGATTAGATCTTTAATCTCCGGTGTGAGTTTAGTTGATTCGAAGTTGATCTTTTTCATTTTTACACTTGAGTTCCTCGCTTCCATGATGAGTTCAGAGAGAATCTTAATGTGATTCTCGATCTCATCTGTTGTATTGCAAGAATTTTCTCCAATGTTGTCTTCAATGCGGCGTGAAATTTGTGCTTTGAACTTTTTCCAGTTTGCGTTTTTGTAGTCATATCTGTAGACTGTATTTTCAGTTCTGTCGATTTTTGATGTTTTGATTTGGAAATACACAGCGCAGTGATCACTCATTGCCTCTGTGCATTGAAGTTCTGTTGTTTCGAGGTTGGAATTCGAGAGCATCAGGTCAATTGTTGACACTGATTTGTTTCGATCTTCTGGGTAGTACGTTGGCGAGTCAGGAAAGTAGATCATGAACTCTCCTGACATTTCCTGAAGAATATTTCCTGATTTATTTGCAACGTTGCAGTTCCATTCTCGATGTTTTGCATTGAAGTCTCCACAGATGTAGTAATTTCCTCTCAGATTTGTTATTTTGTTGATGTCATCTCTCAGATGTAGATCTATTTCCCCTCCTTTGCTTCCTCCTGGGAGATAGACTGAGAGGATGTGACAACTATCCGTGTCATTGATGAAGACTTTGATTCCAATGCATTCCATTAGTTTTGTGTTGTAGCTTGGTTGAAGCTGATGTTTTAGATTTCTTTTGACGATGATTGCAACACCACCCTTTGGTCTATCCACGCGATCCAATCGATGAATTACGTAGTCTGGATGCGAGTCAATTTTTGAGTTTGGTTTTAGGAATGTTTCTGAGATGCAAGCAACATCGACGTTTTGCTTGCTTAGGTAGTCGAGAAATGCTAACATTTTGTCAGTGAGGCCGTTAGCATTCCAGTAGAGGACGTTGATACTTTGTTGTCTACATCCATTATTGTACGCGGTGTTTTTGGCACTTGAGCCGATTGCTTGGAGTATTTCGTCGATGAACTCTGGATTTTTGGCGATTAATTTGAGAAGCTCGCTGATAAGGTACTTGCACTTTGATTCCTCTATTTCTGAGATGTTTTTATCTCTTGTGCTGGTGCTTTGAGCTTGTTGATTAGTTGTTATGTTTCGATTCACTACCTCAACACTGAATGAAGGTTCTGGGAAGACTTCATTCGAGGTCTGACTTGTTGAACTGATGTCTTCTGAGTCCATAAGCTCAACAACTTGCTTTGGTTTTTGATATTGATTGTTATTAATGCGCTCGTTTTGCTTTTTTCTTTGATTCTTTTTCCAATGTTTTCCTCTTTCTTTATTGTTTTGTTGGTTGTTCAAGTTATTTTTATTTCCCTGATTTGAGGGTTTGTGATTTGGAGGAGGATTTGTGTTCCTTGGTTTGTGGTTGACTGGAACTTGTTTTTGATGAACAGGCTTTTGTGTACCAGATGTTGATGGTTCCATATACTCCTTTCTCCATTGAGGTTTTGGTGCATGTTGGACGTTTCTGGTTGATCTCTCAGGACGATGCGGTGTTGGAGGATTGTTTCTCCGTTGTCCATATGAATAATGGCCTGCTGTTTTGTTTTGATTTTGGTTGTTTCCATTTTGTGATTTTGATTTCCATTTTTCAATTATTTCTTGTCTGGTTTTACAACCTGTGAATATTGCTGTATGTTTTTCACCGCAGAAGAAACATTTGAGTTTTCCGAGTGGAACCTTGTTGGTCTCTTTCGATATGTACTGGCACGTTTTCGAGTCATGTTGCTCAGAGCATCTGAAGCAAACGGACGGTTTGTTACAACCGTTTTGTCCATGACCAAACTGCAGACATTTCGAACATTGAGATGGTCCAGCTTGTCTATTTTTGTAGTCAGCCCATTTAATTTTGAAACTGCTGACAATTTTGATTTTCCTGAGGAATTCCAGGAAATTTCCACCTTGTTCTACATCTTTTTTGAAGTACACGAGGTAATTCTGGTCGTCATCTTGTTCGTGTCTTTTGTGTTTCATTGTCATTTTGACAATTTTTACTGGTGTGATTTTTACGGTTTGAAGTTCCTTCTCCAACTCACTGATTTCCATATCTGGGAGTCCATAGAGTACGTACTTCTTCAGTGGTTCTTGGCTGGAGTATGTGTGGAAGTGATGCTTTTTGTCTTTGAGTAGTTGGATGAATTTCTCGTAATAATCCCAACTCTCCGTTGTTACCGTTTTTGTTCCTTGTTTGCCCTTTTTGGTCTCAATTAAGAAACTTCCAGGTTGATTGTTTATTTCATTCGTCAATCTCTTGATTTCACCAGCTCCTCCTGTGCTGATGACAATTGGAGGTGGTTTTGATTTTTGTTGAGATTTGTTGTTGTTGCTTTCCGTGTTTACGGAAATTGTCTTTTGTTGCTCTGATGTTTTGCTGTTTTCTCCCCAGTACGAAGAAGTTGTCGATCTTTTTTTCTCCTGTTCTGGTGAACCAAATAGATACGGTACTCCAGAAGACGAAGCTTTCTTCACTGGTGGGAGTACGAACAGTGGTTTGTTCCCATCTTTTGGTTTGCTTTCGTTTGCTACTCTTTTTAAAAGAGCGTTGGGAACTATCACTTCTCGAGGGCGTTTTTCTGCTTTACTTGCTTCATTGAGAAACTTCTTTATTGATATTTGTTTTTTTGGTTTGAGATTTGTCATCTCAATGTCGGCTGCTTGTAAAACATCTTCACTGAAAATTTCCTCAATATTGAGAATTGTCACTGAAGATGAATGTTGTTGTTGAGAACTATTAAGTCCATGCTGATTTTGAGAAAAATTTTCTTCGTTGTTGGTAGTTTTTGGTGATGCTTCCATTTTGATGTTTTGAGAATCAAACTGAGATTTTGAAACTTTTTGCAAACAAAAAGCTTCTCAGGTAGTCTCTGTTTTGTTTCTTTTGAGATTTTTGAATAATTTGCGGAGCGATTTGTAAACACGTCTGTTCACGTTGAGATCTAGTTTGCAACTCATGAATAGTAATACTGTTATACTTTGTTCATGAGTACAAAAAAGATTAATAAATTCACAACAATAATGTTAAAATTAAATTTTTGAAGATTCTGAAAACATCAGAAATCTTTTTTATTATCATACAGTATTTTGAAAAAAAGAGTAAAGTATAAAATAAATGAAAATATTCAAGATGATTAAATAAAGATTCAGATTATATGAAAATATAAGAGAATCAGATAGGACGATAATATCAATGTCAATTGTAATAATGATATGGCGCATTCAAATAACTACGAATAATAATTGAACATGATTTATGTAGATTCCATAAGTTGATTTGCACGGCTGAGCACAAAATTAATATCCATCGATGGATAATTCTGTAAGAGCTTAACATTATGCTCAAAGTCATTTTCTAAAATTTGATCTCGAACTAGAATGATCATAGCACAGCACACACAAATGAGATACTCAAATCGACTATCGTCAGCTAATATTGAATCCCAAAGTCGTAAGACATCTGGAAGATCGAATTCTTGACTTAAAATTAATGAAATCCATCGGAAACTGTAGTATTGTGGAAATATTCCTTGTTCCTTTAATCTGTTTGATACATGGATGTCCTTCTTCTCAAGCATTCTGGTGAGCTTATTCATCATTCCTCTTATGCCTGAGTCCGTCTCATCCAAAGTTTTAATAAAGAAATCTCGGATTTCACTCATTAAAGCCGTAAAGCACCAAAAGCAATCAGCTTCTGCAAACTCTGCATGTTCATCATTTGATGCGAACACATAATAAATTGGACCAATAATTTCATTCATACCCTGTACATATCCTTGACCGGAGTTTAATTTGGCATAAATGAAGAGCATTCGTTCCACAACTTCCCAATTTGCTTCCTGTCCTTTTTGCATGGCTTGATAATTTTCAGGTGCGCGTTTTACTATTAAATTTATCTATAAGGATAGACATTTTAGTATTCAAAATAAGGATATGGATGCAGATCAACATTTCTTTTAGTTTAAAACTTACTTGCTAAATTAAGCAATTATGGATTCATGGTTAATGCCAAAGAGAGCAAAAAACAATGTTAAAGTTAGATATTAGAATTTAAACATGCAAAAATAATAAAAGACCTAAAATGAACATACCTTTTTGATCCCTACGCCCTTCCTCTCGACATTTGCTGAACTTAGAGTGCTTGGAGCTACGCGATGATGCAATCTAATTTCTGTATCACTATTAACGACTATGTCACATGGATATTTACACGGTTCTTGAAAGAATGAAATGTCAGGTAGTAATCGTCGTGCATCTTTATCAATTTGAAGTAGAAATGTTTCATTGTCTTTAAAGAATGTGCTCCATGATGAGTCAATGTTATCACTAAGTGGATGATCAACAGATAAATCGACATCCTTACAGCTTGGTGGTATACAGAAATCCTTTATTAAATTACGATAGTTATTCCGTTGTCGTTCTAAATGAGATTCCCAATTATTTTTACGTTTTGGATCTAAGTAGTTGAAAAGAAGTTTCCAGCATATTGGACGATATTTTGCACATTCTGGAATCCCCGAGTGAATGAACTTCTTTAAAGCTTTGATATCAATTTCATCTTGTTTTATGAGATTTTCAAATTCCTTTAATCTGTAAAAGAAGTTATCAGTTTTATATCTTATAATTTAATTAATTGAGTAGCTAATTTACCGAGATTTATAAACTGACATTGAATTAATTATATTCTACTAATTACTTTTATAAAATGATACTTAAATTCGAGTAAATTAAATATTTGAGTAATTGCAGATAGTAAATAAACAAAAAGCTATTCTATAGGACCTTAAGCAGCGATTCTATATTCACACTAATGCTTTAAAGCTAGTTATTCGCAATATGTACTTGATGAATCGACAGGTAATCTAAAGTTCTAGAGAATTTAATCATAAACTTTCAACAAAAAAAATCATTCATTAATTTCTTAAGTAATTAAGATAATGATTAAACAAAAGACATATGGATATAAAATATCCATGTCTATCACTACGAATGCATGATTTTTTGCACAAAACAACATATTCAAATAAAAGTCAACCGTTAAGTTGTGGCTCGTTAAGAAAGATCAGCAACAAAAGATCACATTGGCAGTTGTTTAATTCAATTAAATTGTTTACTTGAACTTCAGTATGTTGTGGGAATTCTATGAGCTTAGTAGAGCTCACAAGATTTTGTAATCAATTAAAATATAAAATATTTGGTATATCTTCAGAATTGGATAATATTGAAGTTTTTTATAAAATATTGTTGTGAGGTGATAAATGATGCTGGAAGTGATATTAGTGAATTAATGATGGAATGTCAATAGACAAATAATTGTTATAATGATCATATGAGTATTGTTTAAAACATTTTTGGGAAAGTAGTCCATTACACTAGTGCATAGTTCAGAGAAGGACTAGGTAACAAAAAGCATCTTGCATGAACAACTGGTTCTCTATCAATAAGCAAAATTAATTATTTAAATTGCGTCTATAGGCTTCAAACGCGTAAGCAAGTTTGGAGCAAATTTCTTGTAGCAAATTCCTATTTCTCTCTTGACGGAATGTTTTCTATAAGTTTTCAGAAAATTTCTTATTTCCTTAACCTTCATAAATTAACTGTGAAGGTTTCTAGTGCTTACGAGGGAACAATCCTTAGTTACAGTTAAAATTAATCTTTACCCAAAGTTCAGCTCTTCAATTCAAGGGTAGGTTGCCAGAATAGCCTTTGAAACCAGCCAATACCACCTCTGCAAGTACCCTACAATAATTTTTTTTATCTTCGCCTAATTTGACTTTAACAGCTCTTTCAACAATAGCATCAAAATAATTAACATCTTGTGGCAATATTTAAATTAGCATTTCGACTCTAAAGTTTACAAAAAAAAAAATATTGTGAGTCAAACGCACCTCAACATGTGTACCCTACACATATTTGAAAATTTTATAGCCATACACAAGCGACTGATGAGCAAACTGAGCGAGACATTTTATCCATTACTCTATTCCTAGCGTGCTCATCAGAAAAAAAAGCTTTTTTTAAAGAAAATTGACCATTTGGAAATTTGTTTAAGAAAAATATCAGCTCAGTCATTTCGCGGCAGTCGAATAATCCAAATTAAAAAACATTTTGTTTCCCATAATATTGTGCATATATATTTTTTAAAAGCAAAATAAAAGAGAGAAGAAGATAAAGAAAAAAATTGTGTCGTCCTACTGGTTGTTGTGCACACACAATTTCTTTCAGTTCCTTACATTTCACGCGAACGAACGAACAATTCGACTGCGACGCAAGATCACTTTTCCTCCTAAGTGAATCGATTACTGAATCTTATTTTCAAAAAAAAAGTAACTTCAATTTGGTGTGAAAAAAATTATTTTTACTGTATTTGATCACAATTTTTTTTTTTTATAATACAGCATTAGTTAATCGTGAGAGTTTGAAGTGAATGGATTGAGAAAAGAAAACAACGGTTTGAAGACAGCTAGTGCATTAATTGGTGCAGTGAATTTCCATTGAATTGATAGTGAGAGTAAATAAAATCAATAAAAGTTGAATGAATTGAATTCAATGAAGGAATTTGACATGCAATGATAATTAATTATTAGTGAAATTCAGTAATATTTGGATACAACTCATCAGACCCCTTGTAAAATGGATAAATCAAAAGCGAAAAAAGGTAGGAACAATTTGTCTATTTCTTCTATGCGACTATTTATTCAATTATCATATTACAAACTCAAAACACACGCAATCGAAAAGAGCTTGAAAGATATCAATTAGCATAGATATGATAAAAAGTACTGGATTTGAGGGTTGAAAATAAATTTGTTCAAAAATAAGACAAGCACAAAGTCATCATGACATATCTCTTCTATTTTTCTCTGCGTTCGATTAAATGAATGTGTCTATAAATATATTTTCTTTACTGTGAGCCGCTTTTGACTTGAAAATTTTTTTAGCGCATTTTCTCATTAGAGCGTTGCATATCCTTTATCACTTTGACTAATTTGAGTTTCATTCAGCTGTTTACTCATTTATTGATGATTGTTTTTCTTAATTTTCAAGAATTACAAATTACAAGTGATTTTACTTAATCAATGATAAATGAATATTAAATTATTATTAAGCTATTGAATTGACAATGAATAAATAACATTTGATTTTGATTTATTTAAGTTCTGTTGATGCAAGTTTTGAACATTTGCTTCTTAAAAATTTAGCTAAGATCATAAAACAACAGCTTTTCTACATAGAATTCTACTTTAAACTAAGCTGCTAACCATGATTATAATATCAACTATTAAGCAAAAAAATTTGATTTAACTTGAAATACACTGGTGGAAATTGAAATGAGACACTTTGGGGCCATTCACTTATTACGTAACGCTTTTAGGGGGGGAGGGGGGTCTAAGATTTTGTTACGGTTCAAACAAGGAAAATTTTTTTCATACAAATTTTGTTACGAGGGGGGGGGGTCTAAAAAGTCATTTTTTCGCGTTACGTAATAAGTGAACAGCCCCTTTAGAAAAATTTACAAAAATCTTCCTCAATTTTGACTTTTACTATACAAATTCCATAAATTTTTCACATTTTTAATGCAAAAATTCAAATCGAAAAATTCCGTTAAAATTTTCTTATTTTTGTCATTTATTAACATTTTATGCACATAAAACGTGTGTATATAAAATTTGGAGAATCATGCACTATGTTTGGGATTTCATGACTTAGATGTTAATCCTAGCGTTTATGCATGGAGATAAAAAATATATGGGATTGAAAACTAATAGTAAAAACAATGCAGAAAGTGTCCTGAAAACTTCAGATTTTTTTGATTGACCAAAATAAGAGAAAAAATAATTTTTTCATATCCGTACTCACTCGTATCAAGCATTTTAATTAATTTTTGTCATTTAAACTTATGTTGAGGTAAATATCAATTCTTTATCTGAAAGAGCATTTAAAAATCTACATATTTTGATTTCATTTGTTATTAATAGATGATTATTCATAAAAATATTTGATGAAAACAAAAAACTTGGCTTTTACTACTTTCTCTTGAGGATATTAGATGACTGGAAGTTCCAAAATTTTTTAGAATGCTCTAGTATTGTTAAGAAAGTAAAAATCTACAAGTCTATATACAATATGTATAGTCAAAGTCAAAATTGAGGAAGATTTTTGTAAATTTTTCTAAAGTGTCTCATTTCAATTTCCACCTCAAAGATCATATTTTGTAAATAACTTTAAACTGTTACATTTTCAGTCAGTACATTGTTCCTGTACTTAAATTATTTTTTAAAGTCCTTTCCAATGATATACAACAAGTAAGGCTTAATCTTTCATTTGTAAGACTTTCACATAAAAAACATGGGTGTCTCATTTCAATTTCCACCAGTGTATTGTCAAAGTTTTAGAATATTTGGTTAAAAAAATCAAAACTGATGATCAAAAATTATTTAAATCAGTTTCACACCCTTCTTTTTGATTGAAAATTATTGATTAAACTATGAAAATACTCTTAAATTAAATAAGGCATTATTCTTTGTTTATCGTTCAAAATCTATTCCAAACGGCAAATTTTATTTTTTGTAATAAACTTTTCCCGCCAAAAATTCTTTTTTTCTGAATTTACATCTTTCAAATCATTATTCTTAAATTCTACAATTACAACAATTCTATCTGTTATAATGCGCCGTATTTAGCAAAACTCTGATAATTTCTCAACAGCTTTTCTTTCTCTTTCATTCCTATCGTTAATTTTAAGTTTTTCTTCTCTGCAAATTAAATGAACAAAAAAATATTCTCAATTGTGTGTGTGTGTCTTATAGTTAGCATGAAAACTCTTCTTTAAATTTCTGTTGTTTAAAATTAAAATTAGGCAAAGTTTATTCAACTGATAACAGCACATGTGTGGATGTTGAGCTATTTTACAAGAAAACTTTTTATTTTTCTGCACTGTTGATTTTCCCTGTTTTCGTATTCGTGAGAGTTGACGACTATTAATAAGCATTTTTTCATATATCTACGTAGATGTGGGTAGTAAAATGATGCATCACATTAAATCTAAAATTTGACTACTCCTCATCATTCACGATTTTTTTTCATTCTTTTCCTTGGACTACAAATTTGTACACACAAGAAAATATTTCATTGAGCTTTGCATATAACAATAGAGAACAATGTTTATGGGCATTTACTCATAAGCATACATTATGTCATCCAGTCATCATTAAAAAATTGTTATTATCTCATTATACATTCGTAATCACACTATTGTGTGAAATGATTGTAAGATACAAAAAAATTAGTGTAAACAGAAAATGTTTATAAATAAAGGTGGTGAGGCGCATTTTCGCTGAACATTATTCATTGACGAGAGATTTCTTATTTACCTTCCAATATTTACTTCTAACGCACGTGATAAATTTGCTATTTTGAAAATTTATGCTGGCGATTTAGTATTTAATTGGAAATTTTACAATTTTATGGAATTTTCTCGATTTGAGGACGTTCATTTGGAAATGAGATTATGAGATCCCCTGCCGCACTGATTATATTAACTTTTGATATGATTAGAATACTTAAAACACACAAAGCATTTATAGATTACGCTAGTCATAAAGGTACAACCAAGATATATAGATGGGCTCATACAGAGTATACTTGACCATACTCGACCATACTATTTTTTGTGTACTTATACAAACAAAAATTTTTAAAATTTTCTATTTTCAAGTTTTCATTTAAATATCGACAGATGCAACAACATTTGTCTTAAGTCAGTTTCTTTAAATTATAGCAAAGCATTTGCAATACTCCTGTATCAACAAAACTTAACAGAAAGTTGAAAATTTTGCAAAACAAAAATTGAAAATTTTCTTTTATAGTGTTAGTGTTTTTAGAAAATTCAAATTTTTGACGTTTAAAAACTGCGATATTTTTGTATGAGCACATCTATATATCTTGGGTACAACAATTAATATTAATAAGTAAGGATTTTGTGAGCAATTTTTCAGTAACCAGTGAATTGAAAAGCTAGTTTTTGGCTTACCCAAACTTCAAATAGGTTCAAATTGACGATCATTTCAAAAATTTCAATCTTTTTGTAGCTTGGATTATAGGAAGAAATTTTTTTTAAACTAGCTACCATCTAGAAAAAAATAATTTTTGACGAAAAAAGAAGTTTTCAAAAAGTTCTTTATAATGTTAAAGCATAGCTTCATATTTTGATCATAAATTACATGCTCGAGAATATTCATTAGTCAAGAATTAAGCAATATTAATTTACCAGATATTTGACATTGCTTTAATTAAATCTTAAATTCATCGCTGTCAAAGATCAATTAATGACATTCAGTTATCGTGCAAGTTAATTTAATTGAGATGAGAATATCTTAAGAAATATGTTATTTACAAAATCATGCACCTCAATATAATACAATTGATAACATTAAGGTTTAAAGAGAGCCTCAAAAGTATTTTTTTATGTTACTGTACCAAACAAAGTTTATAAAAAAATAATATCTAAAGATGTTGTTAAGAACAACTACTGTGACACATTATCACGCATAAGAAAATTACAACAATATAGAAAATTGTTTGCTCGCCAAAAAAAAAATTAAATGCCTGTTTATTTTTAAAATTACGATGTTACCGTATAAAACATACAACTTTGTATTACACATACAGCAATGTTTGATAAGATTCCTAGTTTTCATCACTCATTCAAGTTTGAGCATTTGATTTATTTACCGATTTCCTTTCGCCATTCATCGCTGCTTTTTAATGCTCTTGAATCAAACTATCAGACGAAAGATTGTGTAATTGATTCACGAATGTGAAGAAGAATTCTATAAAATAATAAACAGATTTCCTCTCGTCAGTATGTCAGACGCTTAAAAATATACACACATGTGCGTGTTTGTTTATAGAATCTCATCACTGAGTCAATTTTTACTGTCATGACCTTGATTTCGGGAAGTAATGAACTGGAAAAATTAAGCTCACGAGCCCCAATCAATGAGCACTTAAAGATTTGTTTTTTGCCAAAAAAAAATAATAAATATCGACTAATTTATACCCTTGACATTTTTCTTTCTTCTCCTTTTGAACTATTTATATGTGTGAATAAAATTTGTTTTTCGACTTTACTCACCTACTTGCCTACCTCCTGCGATACATACATCATCATCGTTGTCGTCATACGGCCCTATAAAAATATATAAATTCTCTCATAATGCGGAACAAATTTTTTCTTTTCGTACTCGTGTCGTAGAGTCTTGATCAGTGTTGAATTCCGGGGATTTCCTTCTATCAGATTGTGTTATCAATTAATGCTAATAGTGAATTATCAAAAATGTATTTCAGTGTAATTAGAAATCATGTTTCATGCGATAAGAAAGCCGGCATATGCTCTTATCTACGCGCCATCAGCGTTCAACACTGGTCTGGTCTTGACGGATACGACATAGTAGTAAATCATGAAAGTAATGAGTCACAAGTCTCTCCCTCTCAAGAAGAGCTAATTTCAATTTTCTTCGTACATTTTCGTACTATTGCTAAGCGGCTCAAAACCATCGACTAATAGCGAAGTCAGGAGTGGAGCAGGGGTTTTGTTTTATTGTGTAGAAGAAAAAGTATTGAAGAGTTGGGATTTGTTTTCTCAAAAATCCTAACAATTTTAAAATATTTGAGGCACTTAAAAGCATTAGGACGAATTTTGGAGGTAAAAATCGCCTCTGACCCACGTTTTGGAAAAATTTCTTCAATTTTCTATGGATTTAGTGAAAAGAAATCATTAAATCCCCTAAATTTTCTGTTCATACTTGCTTTGCAAGATCTGTCCTGCAATAGATTTTTACTACTCTTCTGCTTTGTACACCACCTCTTTCTTGCCACAACCCTGCCATCGACTCACGAACGACGAACACTTAATTTTATTTAAATTTACCCATTTTATGCATGCATGAATAATTAATAGAGACATCAAATCAATAATTCAATGCATCAGTGGATAAGTACAATTGTAAAATGAATGAGATTGACTTAAATGTTAGGTAATGAATTCCACAAGATTTGAGTATGAAATCCTGGCAAAGAGAACACGAAAAAAAACGTTTCCCAAAAAATAAGTTCGATATAAAAAGAATTTATGATTTTGTTTGGCTTCGCGAAAAGATTTAGACTAGAAGAAAAAGCAGTGAGTGAACACTATCAGAAGTGAAAGGAAGAATTATAATTGAAGGAACCAAAATTTACCCATTTTAATCCATAAAGAGTAATAAAGACGTAATCAAACGGTTGTATCACGTGAGAAGACGTTACAGTACTATAATAGGCAACTCGTAGAACAATTAAATACCTTGTTGTACGTGTCTGTTATCATATAGCCTCCAATTAAACGTGGAATCGCAACCAACTCGGCAAAGAACGAAGTTATTATTCGGCATTTGATAACAGAAAAATAAATTTACGCAAATAAATTGAACTATTACGTTGACTGTAGCTTTAGTAGCAATTTGGCATTCCTTATAGTCTGTTTTATGAAAGTATTAAGGTAGAATTAGAGTGAGATTATGTCTGATGTGATAATCGGTTGTGATAATTCTTATTAACATATTATAAATTAATAAATATATTCTTGGACACGGAAAAGTCGCATCTAAACGATAAAAAATGATCTATTTATACTTGAGTGTCTTAAATTGCTATGGTAATGAAATTATTAAGGTCTAAGGTTGTAACTATAATGACCTTTGATGTCCCAATTTTTTACTATTTTTTCTAGCTCCCACTCTCGCAGCTTTTTTTATGAGAATGAGAAATAGAAACAAATAATAATGTATAATAAATATGAAGCAGAAATGAAGAAGAAATTTTTTTATATTTTATTTTTAGTGCCCCTACCGAGTGCCTCTGAAACGGAGCAACAGACAGCATTAGAGAAGCAGACTATAGAAAAAATTGTTCTGGTGTCAGGTGAAGATACTCAAAGTGTCCACAGTGAAAGTGATAACGAAGGTGTTAGTACAATCGTTGAGTCAGTGGATGTCGTTGATAAAGTTATCAATAAAGTTACGGATGACATTGTTAAAATTTTATCATCAAATGATGCCGATAGTAAGAAACTCTTAGAGACTGATATTGACCAAATTGGTGAGGAAGTGATTGAAATTCTCAGAGAAAAGTCAGTGGAACGTGATGAAAATTTGAAAATATCCCTTGATGATGCAACAAGTAAAAATATAGAAGTGAATACTGACACAATTGAAGCTGAAAAAAGTGAGACAGTGAAAGAAATTATTGAAGAAAAATCTGAGAAAATTGACGACGAGAAAATAATTGAAAATTTGCATGAGGAAAAAGTAGAACAGACAACGGCAGTTGAAGAAGAAAAAGAAGAATCGTCAGAGAAAATTGAAGCTCCAAAAGTCGAGTCCGAGGATAAACAGAAGGAAACATTAATTGACGAGGATTTATTACCAAAAGAAGCTATTGCTAGCTTTAATGCTGAGCAAAATAAACCGCCAGTGCCAATACAAACATATTTGTGGGAAGATATCAAAAGATCAAAGGAACAAGTAAGTGATGATCATGTATGTAACCCATCGGTACCGTTCCTCGCACATGTAACCGTCCAAAAACATAAAAATCATTTTGCGTGTACTTACCATTTTTATTTCTCTTTTTCTTCTTATTTTACTTTATTATTTATTATTTTTAATATTTAACTGATTATAATTTTGATTACAAAAAAAAAATAACATTATTAATTTAGGGTGGATATCCCTGGACACATTTATATAAGAGGCCTTTAGGTGAGCACGAAGAACCAGAAGTTATTTTAACATACGATCGTTCACCGAAATCAGGTCGACGTAGTCAACCTGAAACACCGAAATCTCAGAAAAAAGTTCGCATTCAAGATGAGGTAGAGACATGCGAAGAGAAAATTGAATTACCAAGAGAGGAACCAAAGGAGGAAAATCAAAACGAAACAGAATCACAAGAAACAGCCGTTGAAGACAGTTTACAAGCTGAGACAGGGAGTGTTGATATAAAGAAATCACCAAAAAGCATTTTAAAAAAATCACAGAAACTTCTTGACAATATCAAACCAAACACATCGAAATTCGATTCCGATTCATTAAAAAGAAAAATTAAGTCACCTCTTCAAAAAATTAAGAAGATGGCTGATAATCAAATATCAAAGGTTAAAAAGTCTTCGATAAAGAAAATTCCAGTCGCTAAGGATGAAATTGTATTAAACGAGAAGCTTGAAATTTTAAAATTAAAAGAATCGCCAAAATCAAATCACCGAGAACTGCCAGCATTTATCGTCAAACAAGACAGTGATGATACAATTGACATTGTTGATCTTGAGCAGTCACCATCTGAAAGTCGTAAACAGCGGCTGATTGAAAGCGGAATTGTAACACCAGATGAGATCATTAATTTACCCGTAAGTACAGTTAATAATACTCAAGAACTTAATTCATGCAAAAAATCAGATAATGAAGAATCTTATGAGCACAAACACGACCATAAACATAATGACAAGGAAATGTCACCAACAACAATCATCATTCATAATCGAAAAGAGCACATTTATGAGGAAATCGATGACTTTGTTTCAAAAATTGCATTTGATCCAGAACATGTAGATCGAGTTACTTTCCAGGAAGAGAAAAATCCTCAGAACGTCGATCTTACAAAACATGACAACATTACAGATCCAATGTTTGATGAATTCTCACGTGAGATGAATAAAAAAATAAGAAAGTCGTTGACATCACAAGATGATTCGATTAAACGCGAATTGATTAAGAGAAACCCAAAAATCGAGGATTTAGAAAAACAAATGTCAGATGATTACAAAGAGGAACAGATTGGTGATTTTGATGATATTGATGTTCATATCAAAAATCCACGTTCTCTAGCTCCGTTATCATCAGTTGACTCTACAATGTCTCATGATGAAACTGATGTAGCCAAGAAAGCTGATGACAAGAAGCTGGACGATTCGTTCGTCCATAGACATAGTGAGAAGGAAATGTCACCAACTACAGTCATAATTCATAAGAAAAAGGAAAACCTTTATGAGGAAATTGACGATTTTATTGCCAAAATCGCATTTGATTCCGAACATGTGGAACGAGTTAAATGCGTTGATGAGAAAAATCCTCATGATGTTGATCTTGAAAAGCATGACAATATTGTAGATCCAATTTTTGATGAATTCTCATGTGAAATGAACCGAAAAATTAGAAAATCATTCTCTCATGATCACGATGATTCTATCAGACAGGAACTTGCTAAGAAAATTCCCAAAATTAAGGATCTAGAGAAGCAAATGTCAACAGACTCAACTCATTCAGATCGAGAGCCATATGTCCATAAACACGATGATAAGGAAATGTCATCAACAACCGTAATAATTCACAAAAGAAAGGAAAGCTTACTCGAGGAAATTGATGACGTTGTCGCGAAGATTGCATTTGATTCCGAAAATGTAGAACGTGTTCATTATGAAGAAGAAAACCCACATGATGCTGAGCTGTCAAAGCAAGATAACATCACAGATCCAATGTTTGATGAATTCTCATGTGAAATGAACCGAAAAATTAGAAAATCATTCTCGCATGATCATGACGATTCTATCAGACAGGAACTTGCTAAGAAAATTCCCAAAATTAAGGATCTAGAGAAGCAAATGTCAACAGACTCAACTCATTCAGATCGAGAGCCATATGTCCATAAACACGATGATAAGGAAATGTCACCAACAACCGTAATAATTCACAAAAGAAAGGAAAGCTTACTCGAGGAAATTGATGACGTTGTCGCGAAGATTGCATTTGATTCCGAAAATGTAGAACGTGTTCATTATGAAGAAGAAAACCCACATGATGCTGAGCTGTCAAAGCAAGATAACATCACAGATCCAATGTTTGATGAATTCTCATGTGAAATGAACCGAAAAATTAGAAAATCATTCTCTCATGATCACGATGATTCTATCAGACAGGAACTTGCTAAGAAAATTCCCAAAATTAAGGATCTAGAGAAGCAAATGTCAACAGACTCAACCCACTCAGATCGCGAGCCATATGTCCATAAACATGATGATAAGGAAATGTCACCAACAACCGTAATAATTCACAAAAGAAAGGAAAGCCTACTCGAGGAAATTGATGATGTTGTCGCGAAGATTGCATTTGATTCCGAAAATGTGGAACGAGTTCATTATGAAGAAGAAAACCCGCATGATGCTGAGCTTTCAAAGCAAGATAATATCTCAGATCCAATGTTTGATGAATTCTCATGTGAAATGAACCGAAAAATTAGAAAATCATTCTCTCATGATCACGATGATTCTATCAGACAGGAACTTGCTAAGAAAATTCCCAAAATTAGGGATCTAGAGAAGCAAATGTCAACAGACTCAACTCATTCAGATCGAGAGCCATATGTCCATAAACACGATGATAAGGAAATGTCACCAACAACCGTAATAATTCACAAAAGAAAGGAAAGCATACTCGAGGAAATTGATGACGTTGTCGCGAAGATTGCATTTGATTCCGAAAATGTAGAACGTGTTCATTATGAAGAAGAAAACCCACCTGATGCTGAGCTATCAAAGCAAGATAATATCACAGATCCAATGTTTGATGAATTCTCATGTGAAATGAATAAAAAAATTAGGAAGTCATTCTCTCACGATCATGACGATTCTATCAGACAGGAACTTGCCAAGAAAATCCCAAAAATCAAGGATCTAGAGAAGCAAATGTCAACAGAATCGACTCATTCTAATAAAGAACCTTACGTCCACAAGCATGATGACAGAGAAATGTCACCAACTACAGTCATAATCCATAAAAATAAAGGGGAAGTCTATGAAGAGATTGATGACGTCGTTGCAAAATTTGCATTTGACAGTGAAAATGTTGAACGAGTCAAATATGAGGAAGCGGATCCTCACGAGGTTAAGTTGACAAAGCAAGATAATGTATCGGACCCAATGTTTGATGAATTCTCACGTGAGTTAAATAGAAAGATAAGAAAGTCATTAAGCTCTCAAGATGACTCGATTAGACAAGAATTGATGAGAAAGGTTCCGAAAATTGAAGAGCTTGAAAAGCAATTATCAGATGAGGATAGGGAAGAGAAAATAGAACAAGTCGATGACATTGAAGTTGTTATAAGAAGTGCTCATCTATTAGCACCAATCTCATCAATTGATTCAACATCATCTGATGAAGATCGGAGAGCGCAGCTGTCGATTGTTGCCGAGGAAAGTGAAACAAGTGACAGTTTGGCAAAGAAGAAGTCATTTGAGACAGAACCATCTGTTGATATTCATGACGTAGAAAGTTTGAAAAATGATGAATCTGACGTGAGTACATTGATTGATGATATCAAAATTGAAGTTGAATCTCCAAAGAAGGAATCTCAAGATATATCGCCAAAAGAAGAATCTCCACAACGAATTGAGGAAAAAGATTTTAGTGAAGATGTAGATTTAAAAGAAAACGAAGCTCCGACACCAATTAAAATCAATCCAAAGTGGTCCAAGATGAGGTAAATCATATTGTAAATGTGCTGAATTATTTTGCATGGAAGGTTTTTTTGATGATTTTTTGCTAATATTTTTTTTGACAATTTTTGTAATTTTGTTTGATTTTTGTGATGATTTTTCCCTTAACCTCCCATGCTTTTTTCCATTTAATTCCAGAAAACTTATAGCAGATCGAAGAATATTGAGAGGAGAGTGTAAGCTTAAATACTACATTACCCAATGCTTCCCAATTCATTAACAATTCACGCTCGTACTTATAAGTTTTACAATATTTACTTGATTGAAAATTTGTACATTTTCTTTGCTTTATTCTACTAACACTCAATAAAAATATAAAAGAAAACCTGAATTTTTTTTTTGATTTTTTGTGTGTTTGTAATTTGTAAAAAAAAGAAAAGTTGTTCATTCATTCACCGCATGTTGAGAAAAAATGAGAATTTTTCTTCTTTTTTGAGAAAGTGAAAAACCATATAGACAGATAAATGTATAATTGTGATTCGGAAATTCTCATAATATATATTAGAAATGCAAGTATTTATATTATCTAGAGTTTTGAAGGTAAACGCATTTTGCTATAGTGATAAACTTGAGCAAAGCAAATGTTTTTTTTTCTGTTTACTCTGTTGGCTTATGCATATAATATTGTTTTGTTCCAATGATAATAAATTTCGTCATAGCCTTTTTCAAGTTGCTGTTTTTTTTTTTTTCTTCTTTCATTCAAATTATATTCCTTCAAAAACAAACTCAGATAATATAATAAAGTGGAGTAGGGAATTCATAATTCAGCTTTGAAGTTATTCACTAATGACGTCTAATTTGTCCACATTGACTGATTGCTGTTCAGTTTGTTAGATATTTTCAGAAGAAAAAAAATTAAATAATCTTATAGAACTTCTTATTATTACCTTCGTGTAGTCTTAACCATGTGGCTATTTTAGATTTAGTCACATTAGTAGTCTCACCAGATATTTTGTAGAAAAATAACGAATTAGAACTGTCGCATACTCTAGACCAGTGTCTTCCAAACTTTTTTGGTCGGCGACATACCTTGATGGTTTACCCTGACCAAAACCATACATAGTATACGGTTCGTGAGATTTTCCGAATTATTTCGCGACACATATGTAGTTTGGAATTCACTGCTAGAGCAGTCTTGGGTAATCTAGAGAATACCAAGCCAGAAATTTTAGTTTTAGGAAAGAGCTACCAGATTCAACCCTAAAACCCGCTATTTTAAACATACCTTCTTTCATTTTTTCTCAAAGATATTTTTGAATTTCTCGTAATATTGCTAGAATCGCTTCCTTGAAGCGTAGGTTTAGAGAAGGGTTTGACTGAACCAATCAAAGTACTTAGCCAGTTTATCTCACAAATTTTTATAATATTTTTAATACAGTTTCTCAAATTTTGGATACTGATATACCGCTTCAAACAAAAATTGTTCACAACGATTAATATCTATATTATTCTTTAAATTCTTATATTTTTACTGACGTCATTAGTGAATGAACCCCTATTTGATTTGTCAAGAAGTTGTGTATAGTATGTAAATAATAGTGCTTGATGCTCAAATTTTCAATTTTTGATAGCATTCGAAACGTAGTAAAAACTCTTATTAAGCAATGCTGCTTAAAATGTGATGATAAAGCAACCAAAAAGATATTTTTGCGCTTTTCTCGAGTCTGAAAGAAAACAGAGATTTTTCTTCTATACAGCTCTACATCAGCGACAACGAAGAGTAAGAGAGAGGAAAACAGGAAAATTTCATAAATGCTAAAATCTCTCAATTTCAAGGGGAAAATTATAAATTTAGCTTTTTGCAGTTCTTTTTAGTATCTTTCGAAATCCGTGTATGTGAAGATCGATCATTTTACGAAAAAATATATTAATAAAAAAAATCAGTTATTTTTATTTCCTTTATACTTTTTCTTTTTCGTTCACATATTTATATTGATTTAAACCTTCGGAACCATAAATTATCAACATACATTCAATGAAAACAATAAGAAGTTTAGTTTTAAAAAAATAATTGTGCAACTTAAAACAGAAATTAAGAAGAAGACTTCAAAAAAAACTTGGGATTTTTTTTTTCATCATATTCCTAAGAAGCTTTCTCCTTTGAAGTGGTGAAAAGTCTATAAATAGAAATCTAAATACTTCTAATAATATTATTGAACGGATTATAATAAATAAGAAAACTATAAAATCGAAAAGCTTATATAATAATTTAAAATTTTCAAAATTAAGTGTTAATCAAATCAAAAAATTAAAAAATTTTGAGTGACCAAAAATATAAAAATTCGTCGCTAAAAATAAATCACAAAAAATAAATAAGAAAGAGATAACGAGAACAATTTTAAATTAAGAGTATTTTGTCAAATGACATCACGCTTTAGATCGTCGTCCCTAGGTGCAGTTCCCCATCAAAAACCCCTCTCACGATCACGTGCAGAAAGCTCACACGCAGCCCCTTTAGAAGTTAGGTGTGCCTGTCAATTCTTCCAAAGTGATTCCCTCATACCAGAACGTATAAATCCAATTGGATCGCGACCACCGTCAAGAGTCGATTCAACTGGTGATCGACCAGTTTATTGTTCTAAACATAATATTTTCGAGGAAGATCATATTGAGACAATAGAAGAAGAAAATTTATCGGGAAGTTTATTAAGTTTTGGTAAAAATTCAGTGCCTGATTATTATGCGGATACGAATGTTACATATCACATACCGACAACAAATGAAACGTTTCAATCAATAGATAAAGAGAATATTCCTCAATACGTTGTGCCAACATCAACATCCGATTTATTTCAACATCCATTAAATTTTGCTCAACACCCGTTAAGTTTTGATGATCGACATATTCCGCCGATTGAAATTGAAACATTTAGAGCTGATTTTCCTATAATAAGTTTAAATGAGAATTCTAATCATATAATTAGTCCTATAAGTAATAGTAATAAGGTTCAACCTCTTAAACGACAATTTAGTAGTCAAAAAAGTTTAGATAGATATTCCACATCGACCTTACTTGCTAAATATCGTCAAAAATCACACTCACAAGCACCTTCATTACATGGTTCTACAACCGACATAAGAATGCTTCCGCGTATGACGAAAACTGTTAGTTTCGATTATGTTAAGTCATCACCAGCAAATGCAAATGCTGTAGTGTCAAATGAGAATCCGAATTATGATCAATATCATAGAATGTCTCCAATGGTTTTTCCTGTTCGCGAAAGAATAACTAAATTGGAAAGAATGAGTGTCACTCGGTAAGATTAAATTAGAAGAAATCAAAAGGAAAATTGACTCTCATGACTTGTCTATAATTGTGCACATTGCCTATGATTTGTTTGCTAATTATTTGATATATCATCAAAAAAAAAAACGCTTTTTTGTGAGAAAAAAAAGATCATTAAAATATTTGCTTACGAAACAGACCCGATCAGCACACAATTAATAAACTATGCACTAGCATCCTATATTCTGTACACTAGAATGCACTAGTTTACTACTTACTATATACTTGTATACTATGTATAGGCCAATAGTATACTTAAAACCGTATAGCCACTTGAAATCTATTTCTACGCGACTACCACCTGCATTTAAGTATATTATCCGTTAGATCAACGTGTTGATAGCACTTTAATGTGTACTGATCGGGAACAGCAAAAATATTTCTCTTTTCATGTTCTAATTTATTTTTCCCCATGTATATTTCAGTGATCATGAATATGAGCCAATAGGCGAACCGATGCTTGACGAACACGAAGCGGCTGATGACTCACAATCGAATGATAAACAAAAACGAAAGAGCTCAGATCCGTTAGAACAAGGAAATGAGAAAAAATTATTGAGATCACCGTCTGATGAAAGCGAAGATAATATAAGCGCACAAGATTTTCAAGATCAAATTGAAAGTCGATTCTTTAGGAAGGAAATTGAGCCAATATCTGATAATGAGGACCATGTACATGAAGAAGATATATTTGAGGAAGCAGTCATTATTGATGAAGAGCCTGTGGCACGTGAAGTGCCAAAGAAAAAGAGCTTTATGGAAAGTGCTCAGAATTCAGGTAAAAGTTTCCAAAAGAAAATAAAGGCAACAACTACTTCCATAAAAACATCTTTAAATAATAAAATTAAGAAGAAACCAAAAGAAAAACCAGTCGCTGTTGAGGTTGCTCATGTTGAAAAAGATGAAGAGCCACAAACTGAGGAAAATGTAGTGGAGGAGAAGGAAGCTGTTGAATCAATCACCATAAATGTTCAAGAAGCTGAAGAGGAAGCTTCAAAATCCAAGAAATCAAAAATGTCAAAGTTTACAAATAGCATTAAAAAGCCAACAATGCCAAAGTTTAATAAACCACAATTTAAAAAGCCACAAATGCCAAAAATGCCTGACTTGAAAGTCGCTGAAAGATTTGGAAACCTTCGTAAATTAGGTAGAAGTAAGTCAATGAAAGAATCATCAAATGGAGACTCGACATCATTAAATACCCAAGAAGCTGCATCTGCAGAGCCAACATCCAAGAAAAAGTTTGATTTTGGAACCTATCCACGTCTTATTAGAGATAAGTTTAAGCGTCCAAAATTACCACAACGCAGTGATGCTAGTATGGTTTCTGAATCGCCTGCTCCTGATGAAGATTTCAACAGAGTTCCACAAGCATTTGCTCAACGTGGACCTGTTGCTTCAAGATGGCCAGAATACATAGAAGAAGAGCCTGGCAAATATCAACATTTTGATAGTGAAAGTGATCTGGATAGAGATCGCATGGAATTTGAGCGCGAAGAAGTTCGTCATTTAATGACAGACGAACAACGTCAACTTGATGATATGGATAGAGAAAATTTCCAAATACATTTGATGGCTCAACAGGAGAAATTCCGTAAACCTTATATTGAGAGACAAGGATCGGATGTTGCATCAGAAGATGACAAACTAATGTGGAGTGGAATGCTCAATAAAAATGTTAAGGAAGATGAGGAAGAATTTGAACAAAATGCATTACGTTTTGATGAAGATTACAAGTTTAACTTAGAGGCTTACAATACCCAAAACCTTAATCGTTCATCAACTCCTCAAACAAATCAAGAAACTCAAAGTTCAGGCAGTTCCGGTGTAAGACGACGTGGAGGATTCTTAGATGATGATGACGAGTATTTCTTACGTGAACAAAGGGATACAAATAAAGTTGGTGCTGGTGGAGATTATATCGATTCAGCTATCAAAGAGGGTCTTGGATCAGCTAATGAAAATGCTTTGACAAATATAGGCAGCTATGATGATGAACTTCCAGAAGAACATCATGAATTGACACCAGATAAGCCAACACGTTCACTAAAACGTAAAAAGAAGAGCTTGCCACAAGAAGAAGAAGAATATAATGAAAACATTCAAAATGAGCCTGTTGCATTTGATTTTTATAAGACATATCCACCACACCGACCAACAAGAAATAAAAAGTCAATAAGTATGGAGCCTGAAGATGATATTAATTTTGAACATGAAATTCTTGATGATTCCTCTGACATTCTTGATGAGAATGAATTGGGAACATTTAAAGGAATTGAACATCCTGATTTGGCATATTTGCAAGACGATTTTGATAATGATCTTGATTATAACGCACCAAACTTGCCAGTTCCACCCACACCACCACGAAGAAGGAAAAAGAAAATTCATGGATTGCAGCCACATGGCTTTATGTCACTTAGAAATGAGCATCTTTCACAAAAACAGAAGCCACTACCCGTTGAACATAATAATGAGGTAAGTTGTATTAAGAAGTCATGTCCATTAAGTGAATAACTCCTAAGGGGCCATTCACTTATTACGTAACGCTTTTAGGGGGGGTCTAAGATTTTGTTACGGTTCAAACAAGGAAATTTTTTTTTCATACAAATTTTGTTACGAGGGGGGGGGGGAGGTCTAAAAAGTCATTTTTTCGCGTTACGTAATAAGTGAACAGTCCCTAAGTTATGCATTTAAAACTTCCTAAACTAATCAATTTATTTTCCATAGATCATTGTGTATCGTCAAGAGCACAACTTTGTTCCACTGGCACAGGAAGAACGATTAACAACTCCAACACCAACACCAAGACGAACAAGATCACGTTCACGCTCTCAAGTTTCAGCTTACACATTAGATGACGCTGAATCATTTAAGAAAGATTCAGTTGATGAATTCAATAACATGATGATCCATGATAATAAGGAAAATGAGTAAGTGAAAATTGCTTTTCTCGTTTTATTTTTGGAATATTAATGTCAGTGCTTTTCAAAATAAACGATTTGTATAGAACTTGTCCATAAATGATGTACATAAAAAATTGAATTTTTGAACCCCCCTTTCACAAATTTTTAATACAAAACTCCAAACCCCCTCCCTCTCTAAATTAAAACATCATTTATGAACAGCCCCTATACTTAAAAAGAAGTTTGGAAGACACTGATATAAATGTTCAATCTACCCTGAAATTTTGGCAATCTCAATATAAATGCTTATGTCACCATTTTATTAATATCTTTAGCTATGCAGTAATAAAGAAGGAAACCCCTCCAAAGGCAGCAGTAAGACGAAAGCGATCAACAAAGTCACTAGGAGATAAGCAGTTTGCAACTCTGCCATTGATGCCACGTAGAAGTGATCATGAACTAGTTCCACCTCGTCCTCCAAGAAATTATAGCACTATTGCTCACGAGAAGCATATTAAACCCGATAAGCCACCAAGAAGAAAGTCTGCAAGCAGTTTGGTTGAAATTTCAAAGTGAGTTTCATGCTGATATCATTAATTTATTGAAGTTTTAACTGTTAAAATAATTTTAGAACTATAAAAGATGATGATTATGAGGAAATATTGGATACTAGTGCTCAAGATAATCGACTTTCACATAGACTTCAATCGGGAGCTATAATTAATAAGATGAAAGACCGTAAGCAACTTAAAATTTTGTCGTTAAGCCAATTATTGTCATAAATACTTTTTAATAGGTCCACTTCCACCACCACCACGTCCTAAACGTGAAAACAAAAAGCCAAGAAGAGACACGAATGATGACGATAAATTTGATAATGATGAAGGTGGTGCTGAAAGAATTACAGAGCCATTAACAGTCAACGTTGAAATAGTTGATAATTTAGTGGAAAGACAACCTGCTCTTTTAATAGAATCGACTCAAACAGAAAGTATCAAAGAACCTTTAAAGGATAACGAAGTGAAAGTTGAAAGAATTGAAGATAAGTTCTTACCACGACAAGAATCAGATTTTTCTGAACCTGAAAGACCAATAGAAGTTGAAGTATCTACACAAACTGATCCCCTGCCGTATGATGAGTTCGCAATGGATGAAGACGAGGATGTAGATATTGAAGAGTTTCTTGGACCTGATGGTAAAGTAAAGACTTTAGAAGACATTTTAAAAGAGGAACAAGAAGCAGAAATTGAAAGAGCAAGACAATTAGCAGAAGCAGAAAATCTCTCAAAAGGTATTCAAAGATTTAGAGAAACCAGCCAAAGATCACTTTCGGAGCACACAAGAACTTCAAGATCCTTAAGTCGACCAATCACTCCATCAGGTAAGTTAACATTTAAGGTTTATACACTCAATATTAATTTTGTAATATCTTAGCTGTCGTTGTTGAGAGGAAAAAGTCATCTCCAATTGTATTCGAAAGACAAGAACAAATTTTGACTGAAGCTGGTCTTTTTATTCATCCTATTACTTACGATGATTTCGGTATTCCACCAGTTGAGGGAGAACAACAACCCGTTGACGAACAGCAGGCAGTAGTACAAGAAGAAATTGTAGATTTCAATAATAACTTACAAGCTGAATTAAATGCAAGGTTGGAAGAAAATCTAACAAGTGCAAGTCCAGAGCCTGATTATGATGAGATTATCAAACAAGCTCAATTGAATTATGGTGGTGATGATGAAGGAGATGATGAATTAGATGCAGAAATGCAGAGAAAGATTGAAGAAATGATTGAGTCAGTCATGAATACAGCACGCGAAGAAGCCGAATGGATTAAAGAATCAAAAGAAAATTTATCTGAAGAAAAGATCAGTAATATTCCTATAGAAACAGTTGAAGAACCAATTACAAAAGTTGAAAAGACTTTCCAAGAATCAAAACCACAGTCAGTCAATAATATGTTCGATGAAGAACCACCTTTACCGCCTCCTAGACGTAAATCAAACATCGAGGAATCAATTTTGAGAAGAGAATTTATTGTTGATGAAGATTTTGTTACCAAAGAGCCACCACTACCCCCAGTGCCTGTTGTTGCTACAGAGGAAAAATCTGAAATTATTGATGAACCAATCAAAGCTATTGAGGAACCGATCGAAACTATTGAGGAACCTATTGAAGTTGTTGGGGAATCAATTGAAACTATTGATGAGCCAATTGCTGTTGAACAATCAATTCAGACTGATGAAGTAATGATAAATGGGCTACAAGAAGTTGAAGAGCCAAGTATTGCGAAAATTGATTATGAAAATGAAGTTGGAATGTCACCAGATATTGAGCAATCGGAAGCACAAGAAGAAGTCAAAGAACGACCAATTGGTGATTCCCAACTTGAAATTTCACAAGCAGTTTCAGAAGACAGACCATCTAGTCCATTCCCAAGTAGAATACATCTAGCAAGTTTAGAAATTGACAATCTTAGTGTGACTTCTTTACAAGCTGGTCGAATTACAGCATCAGAAATTGATAGTCACTCAATCGTTTGCAATGAGTTTGAATCAAAGTCAACCACTTTACCAGGACAAACTGTTCAAATAGAGCTTCCACCAGGATTAATTGAAGAGATTGTTGAGAGAGTAAGGAATGCTGATCGAGCTGAGATGCAATTGATATTAGCAGAACAACAAAAGATGGTTGAAGAGGAGCACAAGTTTTCTGAAGATCAACGAATTGCTGAATTAGAGAAGAGAATGGTAGATGACCAAAAAGCTATTGAGTTGGAACGAAAAACTTTAGAAGAACAGAAAATAAAGGAATTAGAAAGGCAACTTGCTGAAGAGCAAAAGATTTCAGAATTGGAAAGAAAATTAGCTGAGGAACAAAAGATTGCTGAAATGGAACGCAAGTTAGCAGAGGAACAAAGGATCGCTGATCTTGAACGAAAATTAAGCGAAGAACAGAGAATAGCTGAGCTAGAACGAAAATTAGCTGAAGAACAAAGATTTGCAGAATTAGAACGAAAATTATCAGAAGAGCATAGAATAACAGAGTTAGAAAGGAAGCTAGCAGAAGAAAGGAGAATCGCTGATTTAGAAAGAAGAATCGCTGAAGAGCAGAGAAAAATTGCTGAACAGAAACATTCAGCAGTAAATGAACCACAAATTACGCAGGAAATTCGCATTGCAGCTGAAAGAGCTCCTGAAACCAAATCAGACGAGACTAATCCACCAGAAAGACCTCCACTGCCTGAAGATTACCATCAATCATCATCACAAATCCCACAATCGTTTTATCAGTTTAGAGAATTTTCAGAAGAAGACAGCAAAGCTCCACATACAACTCACCATCGTCGCCGAAAGCATCAACCAAAGAAAAAAGATTCTACTACAGACGATGATTATCCAAAAGATCCAAAGGATCAACGACCAAGAAGTCGAGCTGGAACATCAAGTGACCAATCTGTAGCTTCTCTTGGTGGACAATTCTTAAGAGCTTGTGGAAATTCCTTAATTGACTCTGGAAATCAATTAATGGAAATTTTACGTGCAAGCAGTAAAGATGAGAACTACCACGATTTACATGTTGCCTTAATTATTTTAATTGTTATTATTGCTGGACTTTATTTAATGAGTACAGGAGATAAGTCAGTACATCATCATCACTGGGATTTCTTTAATCCACCTGAGAATCAAGGTCGTTAGTTATTTATATACTTTTTAAGGATTTATAATGTATAAAATCATTCATATTCTTTTGTAATCGCTTCTATATTTCTTTAATGGATCGACACTTTGTTACTTATTATCATTTTTCTTTTTTGAGTGCTGCATTTGTTTTTTCTCCTTTTTATGTTTTACGAACATACATACATACTAATTGTTGCTTTTATTATTTTTCTTTTGTGATCGAATATCTCTTTTTGGAACAAAGGTCAAATAAATCTATTAAAGTTTGTATGTTGTACTTATTTCACCACTTGAATCTATATAATAAAAATTAAAAGGTTAAAAAAAATTATCTAGAGGATTTCTGTTTCTGTTTGTTTTAATCTTAATTTCAGTCTCTTATTAAAAAGTTTGTTTTATGTGTTAACATATTATTACGCTACGCAATAAACGACTTTTTAAGACCCCCCCCCCCCTATTTTGTTCAAAATTTTATATTGAAAAAATTTCAGTTTTTTAAAATGTTTTGCTCCTTTGTTGAATTGTTTTGCGCCGCCACCCCACTCATACAATGAAAATTATTTTAAACGAAAATAAAAGTTGCCGTTCGAGATATGTACAGACAAAATAAGCACATTTTTATACACATAGATCAGGAAACTCATATCTTTAGCCAAAGACAAAGACCCAGTAAAGTTTAGGTTTAAAGCAGTTTAAAGGTTTTTGTTTTAAAAATAACATTTTATTTTCATCTTGTATATATAAAAAATTCTATTTTCATTTCTTAATCTTAATAATTAAAGTTTCAGTACTAGTCTTATTGTTCTTCTTCTTTTGGAACTATTTCAGGCGCACCCAAATTTCTGACTGGATAGTAAGGAACGATATCATCATCGGGTTCAGCTTCTTCATCTTTTGTCAGATAAAATTGCTCATCTTGGTTGTTAATGTCTTCAAGCCAGGAAGCACATTTGTCTTGAGAGTCCATCTGAGATCCTTGGCTGTTGTTATTGACGGCATCTTCTTAAGGAAAGATAATTTTGTAAATTAAAATTTTTATTTTGACATACAGCTTTAAAATTTGTTAAAGTCAAATACGAACAATTCATGTTCCACGGACTACTCAAAAGTCTAAGGGTGTTATAATATGCATGTTGGAAAAATTCAAATTTCAAAACAAATTTACGAACTCAGGGTGTGAAATTTCGAACTTTGTATGGCAGACAGACACAACACATTTTCACAAGTTTTTTCGAAACTGTAGCCAGAGTTGCAAAAACATATTATGTTTTACAGAATATGCGCATATATGTGACATATTTTATGTGTGACACATGACATGAACATAAAATATTTTTTTATAAATTTTTAACAAATTTTTGATTTTTCGGTCAAAGTTGGATAAAACTTAAATTCTATTAATTTTGGACCGTACGAAACCTTTTCTACTAGTAAAAAATGAGCAGAAACAAATGGAAAATGTTATTAATAAGCAGTAAAAACTGTTGTTGTCACTCAATATTTTCAATTTTTTTGATTTTTTAGAATTAATGATATGCTTGGAGTCAAATTTGATATAAAATTAATTTTTTGACCTTTTTAATCTAATTTGGATTCCAAAAAAAAACGGGAAAAACATATTTTATGTTAGAAAAACATAATATGTGACACATAAAATATGTGGACACATGAATATGTTTGACAGGAAATATGTTTGACATATCGCAGAAAAAAATGTGTTAACATGTAAAATGTGTGACATAATTTCATGTGTCGCAGGAATTTTTTTTTTGACGTCATCACATATTGCAACCCTGACTGTAGCGGTCGAAAATTTCGAATTCTGTATGGTCGTATCAGGTTTAATTTAAATTTACGGATTAATTATTTCAATTAATAAGAAGGGATTAAGAATAAGTCCTTAGATTATTTTTTAAGCATCAGACTTAAACTTACCTGTTAGATTCTCAAACTGAGAGAAATCAATGAAATTCTCAGCGATAGTATTCAGCAGTTCTGGATTTTCACAAATGTTAACAAAACTTTCAGTTATATCATTGACTTCGAGCTTTTCAGAATGGACAGAACTATTTTCTTGATCAATTTCTGACATGATTTCTTGCTTAATATCAACATTTTCAAATGTTGATGCTGTATCATCCATATCTATACCCGGTTCTTGCTTAACGAGAGCACGATCACTTTCCATTTTTTGTAATGGCTCAGTTTCATTATCACCGTTTGATGAAACATCAGTCTTACCATCCATATTATCATCATCACTCAATATCTCTTCCTTGATCTCTATTTCAGTTTCTTTAATAATATCACAGTTTGAATTTATAGTTTCATTAATATTATTATCTTCTTTTGGACGTTTTGCCTTTTGATCATCCTTTACAGGACTATTACTTTTACGTTTAATGAGACCATCTGAATGCTTTAGTAGTTTAAAGATGGGCTTTGCATGAATAACTTTCAATTTTTTTATCTTGCCTTCATCTTCCTTATTTTTTGGATTTTTATCAGTCTTTTTGGTATTACTATCGGGTTTTTTAGCTGTCGATGGTCCTGGTTTTTGAGCTGTTGATGGAAATAGTAGCATATCAGGAGTCAATGCCTTTTTAATAGCATCCTCAATCTTTTTTGCATTGAACTTCGGATCTTTTTTCGGTTTTTTTGGTTTTTCAGTCTTGTTTTTTGCCTTCTCACTTTGAGCTTTTGATGAACTGGATGCCTTATCTGCACTAACATCACTGCTTCCATTATTGTTATTTAAGCTTATATCATCTGCCCATGTAACAGATTTTTTCTTCTTTTCAATACCTTCACTTTTTTGAGATTTCTCAGTTTCAGATTGTTTTGAGGATGTGCTTGCTTGCTGATCACACTCTCTTTTTTTATAATCTGCAACTTGTTGCCGTCGAATAAAAAAACTAGAAACTTTCTCGATTTTGTCATCCTTTTTCTGCTGATCTTGTTCTCTTTGCATATTTCGCTCACGTTCTTGCTTCTGTTCTTCTTGTTTCTTTAATAGTAAACGGTTTTGCATTATTCGCTTCCTTTCTGCTTCTTCCTCTCTCTTTTTCATCAATCTATGCTCTCGATAACTTGGTGCTGCTGGCTTTTCTGGAGCTATTTGACGTGACGTACTAGGAATCAGTGGATTATTATGATGAGAATAATGGGAAATCGGAGGTAATGGACAACTACTTTGATTATAAATGAAGGCAGGAGATGTGGATGTGCTTAGATTAAATTGTGGCATTGATGGTTGTAATAACTGAAATTGAGGAGGTCTTGGAATATTAGAAGTCATTCCATAAACTGGTGAATAGTTCATCCATGGATTCCAAGGCGGATTATAGCCATATGGATTGTTATTTACTGCTGGTTGTTGATATGGCTGAACATTATTTACATCCATGTTGTTTGTGACTGAAGGAATTTCTCGTGGCATGCGCCAATTTGTCTCAACTGGGGGTGGAATTTCTAGCTCAGGAATCGGTTCTGGATCTTCTGGATCTTCCTCGTCAGAGATTACAATTTTAGTTGCATTTTCCTCCTATTTAAATAAAATAAAAATATAATTAAATGCTGTATTTAATAATTGTGTGCTTATTTTATACTTTTATAATTTTTTGAGAAGCATGTATTTTTGCTTAATTTTTTAAATGTAACATAATTGACTTTGGATTTTTGAACTTTTCTCACGGATTTTTTCTCAAAATTATATTATAATTAAAAAGCTATTTTACATGAAAATTAACTTACTGCTGTCACCAATAAATGGTAATTCTTTTTTGCCCTTTTCAAATAAACTTCCAGTTCCTTCAATTCATCCATTTGTAAATCCTCAGGACCGCAATGGAAAGCTTGTAAAGCTGTTTCTATTATCATTTTATAAGTAGATTTGCTGAAATCAAGTAATGTTTTGCTGCAAAGATAAAAAGATAAATAAAAATAAATATAGTTTTAACGTTTTTCATAGGAAAACAACACTTACTACACGTCCTGGTTAAGGGCAAATTCCTCATATTCATCCTTGAGCTTCTTCCGATATCTTTCCGACTCTGATTCCTCATACATTTTTGTTTCTTAAAAAATAATAAAATTTATAAAAAAAAAACAACAAAAAACCGATTCAAATAAAATATTTAAAAACATTACCGTTTCAACAGTAATAGAGTAAAAAATTTAATATTGTTAATAGTTTTAGGTTATTAACTAGTCGATTACGGAATAAAAGTGCTTTGGAAGGCATAAAGTTGAGATTTATAGATGAAACTTTGTCAAAATTTCTCCAAATTAACGATTTCTCTTATTTATTAACTTTATAACTCCAACGATTATCAGGTTTGTGTAAAACATTAAAAGATTTCGTTCTGTCTGATTCTTGGTTAATGTTTTGTTTTCATTAAAGAATATTCCTATTATGCGAGTTACATTTTGAGGCTAATCAGAAATAGAAATATTTCATTAATTTAAACAGAATAGTGCTTAGAAATTTTACAAAACGAAACTTATTAACATTTTGTATAAACCTGTAAAAATATTAAAGCTATAAAATTCCCTTATTAAAAATGTAAATTCAAAGCAAAATTTTTCGAAATTTTTATTATTAAGAAAGTATTTTGCCTTCTTACAACAACTTGAAAGCTTTCATTCACTCATAAGCCACCGGTTAGTAATGTTTAAATAGAATAAATCAAAATGTACTTACAGCAATCTTTATAAACAATTAAAATTAAATTTAAACTAGATGTTTTCGGAGTTTTTTTTATTTGATTTTACTATGTTTTACTCAATTTTGAATTTTAAATAATGAAAAAATTCGAAATAAGTTTTTAAATTTTACGAAAACGTTGAATTTTTTTTGAATTTTTTATAATCTTTTAATGACTTTTTGAAAAAATTAGTATTTTTCATCAACAGCTTAAAGTTTAATAGATATTTAAAAACAGTAAAGGCGAGAATTATTCAAAGCTTAATTAGCAATTCATTAAAACACAAAACTAGACATAACTTCCACTTCTACATGGGGTCTTAAACCATTTTAGTTTTCTGAGCACAAGTTTTAAAGTACATTAAAATGTTCTAATATGAACGCAAGGAGAAATTATATAAGTCATTATAGGTATGGACGAAAAATAGAAGCTTGTAAATGCTTTACTATGAGCCATTATTTACTTAAATTTCAACAATTATACGCAATCTTAAATTGTATTCAAGTTTTCTCTTGTTTTTTCAAAGCTTACTTTATAAATTAATTATCAAAAGAAAGCTAAATCAAAATGCTTTTGAATTTAACCCAGGGGTTGACACGAATTCATCTTGATGAAAAATTTCTTTATTCTATTGTTAAGATGAAATTTTTGTATGAATTGATGAAAAAAGATGAATCTTTTGTATGGAAAGATGAAGAAAGATGAAAAATGATGAATTTTTTTGTATTAAAAGATGAAAACGATGAAATTTTCGGGTGAGCTCGAATTGTATGAAAAATACCTATCTAGTCTTTCGACTAGATTTTCTTAGATGAGATGAAAAAACCCCTCGGAAAAGTCATTTTTTGACTAGATTTTCTTAGATGAGATCGATGAGATGAAAAACCCCTCGGAAAAGTCATTTTTCGACTAGATTTTCTTAGATGAGATCGATGAGATGAAAAACCCCTCGGAAAAGTCATTTTTCGTCTAGATTTTCTTAGATGAGATGAAAAACCCCTCGGAAAAGTCATTTTTCGAATAGATTTTCTTAAATGAGATCAATGACATGAAAAACCCCTCGGAAAAGTCATTTTTCGTCTAGATTTTCTTAGATGAGATGAAAAACCCCACGGAAAAGTCATTTTTCGAATAGATTTTCTTAGATGAGATGAAAAACTCCACGGAAAAATCATTTTTCGACTAGATTTTCTTAGATGAGATCGATGAGATGAAAAACCCCTCGGAAAGTCATTTTTCGACTAGATTTTCTTAGATGAGATGAAAAACCCCTCGGAAAAGTCATTTTTCGACTAGATTTTCTTAGATGAGATCGATGAGATGAAAAACCCCACGGAAAAGTCATTTTTCGACTAGATTTTCTTAGATGAGATCGACGAGATGAAAAACCCCTCGAAAAGTCATTTTTCGACTAGATTTTCTTAGATGAGATGAAAAGCCCCTCGGAAAAGTCATTTTTCGACTAGATTTTCTTAGATGAGATGAAAAACCCCACGGAAAAGTCATTTTTCGACTAGATTTTCTTAGATGAGATCGACGAGATGAAAAAAACCCTTCGAAAAGTCATTTTTCGACTAGATTTTCTTAGATGAGATCGATGAGATGAAAAGCCCCTCGGAAAAGTCATTTTTCGACTAGATTTTCTTAGATGAGATCGATGAGATGAAAAACCCCTCGGAAGTCATTTTTCGACTAGATTTTCTTAGATGAGATGAAAAAACCCCTCGGAAAAGTCATTTTATGACTAGATTTTCTTAGATGAGATCGATGAGATGAAAAACCCCTCGGAAAAGTCATTTTTCGACTAGATTTTCTTAGATGAGATCGATGAGATGAAAAACCCCTCGGAAAAGTCATTTTTCGTCTAGATTTTCTTAGATGAGATGAAAAACCCCTCGGAAAAGTCATTTTTCGAATAGATTTTCTTAAATGAGATCAATGACATGAAAAACCCCTCGGAAAAGTCATTTTTCGTCTAGATTTTCTTAGATGAGATGAAAAACCCCACGGAAAAGTCATTTTTCGAATAGATTTTCTTAGATGAGATGAAAAACTCCACGGAAAAATCATTTTTCGACTAGATTTTCTTAGATGAGATCGATGAGATGAAAAACCCCTCGGAAAGTCATTTTTCAACTTGATTTTCTTAGATGAGATGAAAAACCCCTCGGAAAAGTCATTTTTCGACTAGATTTTCTTAGATGAGATCGATGTGATGAAAAACCCCACGGAAAAGTCATTTTTCGACTAGATTTTCTTAGATGAGATCGACGAGATGAAAAACCCCTCGAAAAGTCGTTTTTCGACTAGATTTTCTTAGATGAGATGAAAAGCCCCTCGGAAAAGTCATTTTTCGACTAGATTTTCTTAGATGAGATGAAAAACCCCACGGAAAAGTCATTTTTCGACTAGATTTTCTTAGATGAGATCGACGAGATGAAAAAAACCCTTCGAAAAGTCATTTTTCGACTAGATTTTCTTAGATGAGATCGATGAGATGAAAAGCCCCTCGGAAAAGTCATTTTTCGACTAGATTTTCTTAGATGAGATCGATGAGATGAAAAACCCCTCGGAAGTCATTTTTCGACTAGATTTTCTTAGACGAGATGAAAACCCCCTCGGAAAAGTCATTTTTCGAATAGATTTTCTTAAATGAGATCAATGACATGAAAAACCCCTCGGAAAAGTCATTTTTCGTCTAGATTTTCTTAGATGAGATGAAAAACCCCACGGAAAAGTCATTTTTCGAATAGATTTTCTTAGATGAGATGAAAAACTCCACGGAAAAATCATTTTTCGACTAGATTTTCTTAGATGAGATCGATGAGATGAAAAACCCCTCGGAAAGTCATTTTTCAACTTGATTTTCTTAGATGAGATGAAAAACCCCTCGGAAAAGTCATTTTTCGACTAGATTTTCTTAGATGAGATCGATGAGATGAAAAACCCCACGGAAAAGTCATTTTTCGACTAGATTTTCTTAGATGAGATCGATGAGATGAAAAACCCCTCGGAAAGTCATTTTTCGACTAGATTTTCTTAGATGAGATGAAAAACCCCTCGGAAAAGTCATTTTTCGACTAGATTTTCTTAGATGAGATGAAAAACCCCACGGAAAAGTCATTTTTCGACTAGATTTTCTTAGATGAGATCGATGAGATGAAAAACCCCTCGGAAAAGTCATTTTTCGACTAGATTTTCTTAGATGAGATCGACGAGATGAAAAACCCCTCGAAAAGTCGTTTTTCGACTAGATTTTCTTAGATGAGATGAAAAGCCCCTCGGAAAAGTCATTTTTCGACTAGATTTTCTTAGATGAGATGAAAACCCCCTCGGAAAAGTCATTTTTCGACTAGATTTTCTTAGATGCGATGAAAAACCCCACGGAAAAGTCATTTTTCGACTAGATTTTCTTAGATGAGATCGACGAGATGAAAAAAACCCTTCGAAAAGTCATTTTTCGACTAGATTTTCTTAGATGAGATCGATGAGATGAAAAGCCCCTCGGAAAAGTCATTTTTCGACTAGATTTTCTTAGATGAGATCGATGAGATGAAAAACCCCTCGGAAGTCATTTTTCGACTAGATTTTCTTAGACGAGATGAAAACCCCCTCGGAAAAGTCATTTTTCGAATAGATTTTCTTAAATGAGATCAATGACATGAAAAACCCCTCGGAAAAGTCATTTTTCGTCTAGATTTTCTTAGATGAGATGAAAAACCCCACGGAAAAGTCATTTTTCGAATAGATTTTCTTAGATGAGATGAAAAACTCCACGGAAAAATCATTTTTCGACTAGATTTTCTTAGATGAGATCGATGAGATGAAAAACCCCTCGGAAAGTCATTTTTCAACTTGATTTTCTTAGATGAGATGAAAAACCCCTCGGAAAAGTCATTTTTCGACTAGATTTTCTTAGATGAGATCGATGAGATGAAAAACCCCACGGAAAAGTCATTTTTCGACTAGATTTTCTTAGATGAGATCGATGAGATGAAAAACCCCTCGGAAAGTCATTTTTCAACTTGATTTTCTTAGATGAGATGAAAAACCCCTCGGAAAAGTCATTTTTCGACTAGATTTTCTTAGATGAGATCGATGTGATGAAAAACTCCACGGAAAAATCATTTTTCGACTAGATTTTCTTAGATGAGATCGATGAGATGAAAAACCCCTCGGAAAGTCATTTTTCAACTTGATTTTCTTAGATGAGATGAAAAACCCCTCGGAAAAGTCATTTTTCGACTAGATTTTCTTAGATGAGATCGATGAGATGAAAAACCCCACGGAAAAGTCATTTTTCGACTAGATTTTCTTAGATGAGATCGATGAGATGAAAAACCCCTCGGAAAGTCATTTTTCAACTTGATTTTCTTAGATGAGATCGATGAGATGAAAAACCCCTCGGAAAAGTCATTTTTCGTCCAGATATTCTTAGATGAGATGAAAACCCCCTAGGAAAAGTCATTTTTCGACTAGATTTTCTTAGATGAGATGAAAAACCCACCGGAAAAGCCATTTTTCGACTAGATTTTCTTATATGAGATGAAAAACCCTACGGAAAAGTCATTTTTCGACTAGATTTTCTTAGATGAGATCGATGAGATGAAAAACCCCTCGGAAGTCATTTTTCGACTAGATTTTCTTAGATGAGATGAAAACCCCCTCGGAAAAGTCATTTTTCGACTAGATTTTCTTAGATGAGATCGATGAGATGAAAAACGCCCTCGGAAAGTCATTTTTCGACTAGATTTTCTTAGATGAGATGAAAAACCCCTCGGAAAAGTCATTTTTCGACTAGATTTTCTTAGATGAGATGAAAAGCCCCTCGGAAAAGTCATTTTTCGACTAGATTTTCTTAGATGAGATCGATGAGATGAAAAACCCCTCGGAAAAGTCATTTTTCGACTAGATTTTCTTAGATGAGATGAAAAACCCCTCGGAAAAGTCATTTTTCGACTAGATTTTCTTAGATGAGATAACAAACCCCACGGAAAAGTCATTTTTTGATTAGATTTTCTTAGATGAGATGTGAAAAAGCGAATTTTCATAAATATTTTTGTAAAAAATGATTTTTTAAGGTAATTTGTATGAAATTGTATACTTCACAAACCAAATAAAACCTGAAATTCTTAAAGATGAATTTTTTGTATGAATTGATGAAAAAAGATGAAGAAAGATGAATATTGATGAATTTTTTGTATGGAAAGATAAAAAAATTATGAAAAGATGAAATCGTGTCAACCCCTGGAATTTAACAATAGCTAGTTTAAGTAGCCACCAATATTAAAAAAATAAAGTTATCAAGGAAAGCTTCAAACAATTTTCAAGTAATTCAAGAAACAAGCTTTAAAAAAATCTGAAACTTTCGTAGAATAAAGCCACAAGTCACAGAAACATTATGATAACCTTTCAGGAAAATTAAATGAAAGGAACAAAAGTTACAGACAATAATGTGAGATTTATATCCACCATTGTATATCAGTGGATAGCTAATTAAGCCTATAACATTCAAGAGAACTGATTTTTCAAAGTCCCTAATTTTTTGTCCACATACTGTAAAATAACATATGCATTGCTTAGGTGTCATTTACTTATAAATTCTATCAGAATGCGATGCATACATGAGTCGGTGATAAGAAAAAGGTTCCTGAACTTAATGTAATGAATTTGTAATGACAATGATTTATTATTGTACTCTTTTTTATTTTCATATTTTAAAACATAATTCAATTTGTTGCTGCTTCTGTAGCAATCTTCTTTAAACTTGGCTCATCCTCAACTATATCAGTGTCTTCAATTTTCCTTTTTGAACTTTCAGTCTCATTAGCCGACGTCAGTTCTTTTTGTAACAGCATCTGATTGGCAGATGAAGTGTCGGATTTTAATAATTCTCGTAATAACATTGTAGCATAGCAAGATGTAGGTAAACTAAAGTCCAAAATAAGGGCTGTATTTTGGCCATCTTTATTTGATTCGATTTCTGGGTCTTTCATCATTCTTGAATAATCAGAAAGGATTAAATCGTCATTTTGATCGGCGTATTTTAAAAATTTCCATGAGAATTTCTGTGGCTTAACAAATGCTTTTCGATAAGCTCCGCATAATGAGAACATCCTGTGAATTTATGGAAATAGAAATCATAAAATACTTAACTCATAAAAAACCTTAAATTTACTCACTTGTGCTTGCTTTTCAATTTTTCAGAAGATAGGTCATCTTTATTCATCAGTTCTGTATAATAATCTCCAATAGCATTTGATGGATATGTTATGTCATGACCCGGCAATACAAGAACGATATCAAAAATGCTATATTTTCCACTTTCAACGTCTTCTTTCGTCAATGGTCGTACCATTTCCTTGAATTTAGATTCAGGTTCAACTATTTCTATTTCTTTGTCATTATCATCTTCAGTTATGTCCTCAATTATGACTGTTTCTTGCTCAACAACATTAGTGGCATCACGAAAGACTAAATCACCTTCGAGAACTGAAAGCCCTAATTCACGTCGCTTTGAAACTACTTGATTAAAGATTAATGATTGATATGCATGAGTATAAAGCATCAACATATTTTTTGGAAGTGTTTGAAGTGCTTGAAGGTAATTATAGTTTCCATTGCTATTTAGCTTTACCAAAGAACTTAAAAGTTTAGCTTCAACATATGTTGAATGTTGATTATCAATCATTTTTAAAGCTTTCTGTGCATCTCGCGTTTCTTTCCAGCAAGCTCTCATTTTAGCCATAAAAGGTGGTTCACCTTCGCGTTCCTTTAAAATTAAATCTACAGCTTCCTTAAAGTCAGAACGAAGTAGAGCTTTGCCAACTTCAAATGTAGGAATTGTAATACAGTTTCCAAATCGCTGCATTCCATAATAATTGATAAAGCCTAGCTCTTGAATGGATTTAAGTGATTCTGTCATTAAAAGTTCTTCTCCTTTAACTGATCTTAAGGCAATTTGGAATCGATTTGCTGACAATTCTCCAAGTTTTAAAGGTTTTTTATTGAATTTAAAGTTTCCTACTTTAACTTTACCTCCAACTTTTATGCGACAAGATGCCTGACAAATTTTTGACGGTTCCACTTTCTTGGCACAGACCCATTGGGTTGTTTTAGCTCGCTTATCCTTAGTTCCAGCAAATGACAATAATGATGATTTAATCTTCAGGTTTTTAGCAAGAAGTGATACAGCTTGCATTGTGTCAAGATTCTCTTTATACAGAACAAAGTATGTGAATTCGTGAGGCCATTTCCATCCCCTAACATCCTGATCACCTTTAGAGAACTTCTTAACTTGAATGAATTTTCTGTCAGTTCCCGTTGATATTGTATTATTCGATAATTTCTTTCCATATACTTTTCTAAGAGCTTGATGCAATGAACTGCGACGATCTTTATCAAAATCAGTGACTTCAATTAATACAGACTTGTGGTAATCTTCATTGTTTATTAGTTCTTCAATTTCTTTTGCTTTTTCATCATCCAGAAATTCTTTAATATTTACTGTATTATCTGTTGGAACTTCAAAATCAGATAGTTGAGGCACAGCAAAGTCAGTTAAAGTTGCTTCCTTGCCATCCAAATCAATTTCATTGACATGAAAATCGGAAAATCTTTGAAAAACCGAAATTGAAAATAACAAAAATGAATTTATACTTTTAATTGCATAAAAACTCACCTAGCCTTAATAATTCCATGAAATCCTTCAATATCTGATATATACTTAACTATGCCAACATCACATTCTAGCAATCGCTTATCTGTTTGCCATGATTTATCATAATTTTGATTGAAATTTCCTTTATTTTTATTAAATCGATGTTTATTATGAAACTTTTGATGATCACGTCCCATGATTAAATTCAGTTGTTGAGCAGCTATTGAATATCTATATCTTTTCACTAAAAAGTTAAATATTAGCATAAGTATGTTAATTAATCGAGTTTTTAATTCTTTACAAAAATCGCACGCTCGAAATGTTGATGTAAACAAACCGAGATGATCGAATTTTTTGATTTTTAAAATTTAAAAGCCCGTTGTGTTTTTGAAAAAAATTGCGCTAGCGACATGATATTAAATCTGAGATCTCAAACATTAATTCTTTATTAGCTGCCAAAATATCAATGAAGATGAGTTAAATAATCACTGTAGAAAATGGTATGTTCAGGTCTTTACACACATTCACAAAAATTCACTAATACAAACACCGGATTTTATTGAAATTTATATTAATCTAGAGTTCTTAATCTTTAAAACTTAAAAAAAGATATTTTTAAACAAGTCAGGATCTCGCACGAACCTTTAGCCTACATCCTCAATGATATTGTTTGCCCTAGGAAGGGGGTAGGCATAAATTATGATTTATATGAAAGAATTTCTCTGATAAGTTGAACAAATCATGAATAATAAATGACTTTTGCGAATTTTCCAGAATTTTCAGTAAAAGTATAATAAATAATTTAAATTTGAGTCCTTCATATGGCACATAAAAAATTCCCCACATATTACAAGGATTGATTGCATTTTGGTGTGTCTCTAGAGAAAATTGTTGTCTCTTCTATATGATGCGATGTGGATGGATGTGGAAAAGCAAAAAAAAAATCAATATTACTGATATATACTAAAAGCATGCTTTCACACAAAACGAGAGAGAATGAAAACAAAAAAATTACAGAAGTCCTCGTGTTATTGATCGAGGGACTTAAGCGCATTTTTGTGTTAGCGATCAGTATTTGATTATGTAATTATTTTGCGTTCATTTACAGATCATGAGAAGATTAGAAGATCATTAATTTTAGTGTAATTAACAAAAAGTTACAATGAATGCTTATATAGAAAGGATTATTATTTAACGGTCAATAAATAATTTGAAATTTTGCCGTTAAAAGTTGCACTACGAAAATATTAATTATAGTATAATTAAACAATTTGTTGCAATAAATTTCCATACAGAAAGGGTTTATCATTTAACGGTTTTTTTGTAATTCAAATTTTCTAAAGGTCAATAAATAATTTGAAATTTTCCCGCTATAAGTTGCACTACGAAAAAATTAATTATAGTATAATTAAATAATTTGTTGCAATGAATTTCCATACAGAAAGGATTTATCATTTAACGGTTTTTTTTAATTCAAATTTTCTAACGGTCAGTAAATAATTTGAAATTTTCCCGCTATAAGTTGCACTACGAAAAAATTAATTATAGTATAATTAAATAATTTGTTGCAATGAATTTCCATACAGAAAGGATTTATCATTTAACGATTTTTTGTAATTCAAATTTTCTAACGGTCAGTAAATAATTTGAAATTTTCCCGCTATAAGTTGCACTACGAAAAAATTAATTATAGTATAATTAAATAATTTGTTGCAATGAATTTCCATACAGAAAGGATTTATCATTTAACGATTTTTTGTAATTCAAATTTTCTAACGGTCAGTAAATAATTTGAAATTTTGCCGTTAAAAGTTGCACTACGAAAAAATTAATTATAGTATAATTAAACAATTTGTTGCAATGAATTTCCATACAGAAAGGGTTTATCATTTAACGGTTTTTTGTAATTCAAATTTTCTAACGGTCAATAAATAATTTGAAATTTTCCCGCTATAAGTTGCACTACGAAAAAATTAATTATAGTATAATTAAATAATTTGTTGCAATGAATTTCCATACAGAAAGGATTTATCATTTAACGATTTTTTGTAATTCAAATTTTCTAACGGTCAGTAAATAATTTGAAATTTTGCCGTTAAAAGTTGCACTACGAAAAAATTAATTATAGTATAATTAAACAATTTGTTGCAATGAATTTCCATACAGAAAGAGTTTATCATTTAACGGTTTCTTGTAATTCAAATTTTCTAACGGTCAATATAATAATAATTTGAAATTTTCCCGCTATAAGTTGCACTACGAAAAAATTAATTATAGTATAATTAAATAATTTGTTGCAATGAATTTTCATACAGAAAGGGTTTATCATTTAACATTTTTTTGTAATTCAAATTTTCTAACGGTCAATAAATAGTTTGAAATTTTCCCGCTATAAGTTGCACTACGAAATAATAATTATAGTATAATTAAATAATTTGTTCCAATGAATTTCCATACAAAAAAAGTTTATCATTTAACGGTTTTTTGAAATTCAAATTTTACAACGGCTAGAAATTTTTTGAAATTATAGAGGTAATATTGAAATTATAGAGGTAAAATAAAATTTGAGCAGTTTACACTGAAAACAAAACAAAAATTCATTAATTATAGCATAAATACACTGTTTTAAGATTTTTAAATGTCCGGCGGGCCAATAACTCGATATAACGGAACTAATGCAAAAAACTAGAACTCTCTACGATGTCTAGATTAAAAGTTTTTCTTAGCAGCCGACCAGCCAGCCGACCAGCCGACCAGCCGACCAAAGTGCGTTATTAAGCTACCTTTTTGAAACAAGTTTCAAAAATGCGCTAAAAAAATAAATTCTGCGAGAGAAAAGGAAATTTTTAAGTATAAACCATAACAACACACATCTCTTTCTCTTTTTCTCCGTTTAACATTTTCCACACATTTTTACTTCACAGTATTGCGCGAGAATTTGACGATTGAACAAGTTTTTCCAAAATTCATCCTTCCCAATATATAATATTGGAGATTATACCCACTGTATTTGTGCTAAGGAGAAGACACAAGAGTATAGAATAGAGTATCAAAAAGAAAAAGTTAATCATAACTTCATGATGATAACAAACATAACAACATCTTAAAAGAATAAGTTCCAAGTGTCACAAAAACCATTAATCGTGTGTAGGTATATTAATGTGGAAATTAGGCGGGAGATGAAAAAGAAAAAAAATCCCATCCTCGATGTGTGACTGAATGTTTGAGGGCGAAAAATGGGAAAATCAATAATTTTCGTTTCTTTTTTTCTGTTATTGATTTTTCCCTGTCTGAGCGTGCATTTATTTGTTTGAGTCGCTATTATTGTGTTTGAAGAAGGAAAAAAAAACAGAATCATTTTTGGTGGGTGTAAAATAATTTTTTTTCTTCTGTGATTGCAAACATTTTCATTCATGAATATTAGCACAAAATATATTATTTAGGTATACATTAATTTTGATCAATCTGTTGAATGTTTTCTTCTGTGTTGTTGATCCTCAATTATATATTTTTATACATTCATGAGATGACAATTGTGAAGTGGGAGTGTGTTTGGCGCCTGGACATGTGAATGATTTTTCAGTTATGGAACGGGATCTGACGGTGATCCCATTCAAGAGTGTAGTCAGGGTATTAACTTTGGGGTAAACCCCTCCCTCTGTGAATAATTTATTTGATTTTTTAAAGTTCTAACTGCGCTGTTTTGAATTGATTGGGTGGTTGTGGATTGGGGTCAAATCAAATATTTGCACCCCCCTAAAATTCGAATCCAGGACTGCCTCTCATTGCTACGCCATTAAAATAAAAATTCTACAACCCCCACCCCATCTCGCTTTCCCACCAAAATTGCTTTAAATTGCTAGGTTTTTAAATTTAAATAATTTTTCGGACACAACCTTCTTCTCTCAAAGCTACACACTGAATTAAAGGTTACATCCACACAAAATTAAAAAGTGCATAAATTTAAAGAACTAACCTTTCTAATCCTTGAATTAATTACTTTCTCTGGTTATACTGACTCCATCCTCAAGTAATCTCTCGATATTTCGGAGCATGAGACATTATCTGTAGGAGATGTGAGAAGATGAAGAACAAAAAAAGGGTTGGCTTGTCTAGAAAAATTATTAATTCAAAACTTATAAATTTTGGGGACCACACAGAGAGAATATGTAAAAGAAAAAAAAATAAAATCATAGCAAAAATCAATAAAATTCAAGCGAGGTAGGGATTTATCGAAAAAGAAGCGGAATTTCATATTCAGTAGCATAATACAATAACCCGCACCAATCATAGTCGTTGATACATTGAATGGAAAAAACAGCCGTTTGCAATTTATTTTTTTTTTGTGTGGTAAAAAGGCGCGCGAAGGGAAACTTTTTTTTTATATTTATGAAAAGTGTAATAAACTCAAAAGCATAATAATAATAATGTAGACGTAAAGCTTTTATAGTGAAAATTATTTTTCTATAGATCCTATTATTTGGAAAATACAGTTAACTAGAAACTTTCAAGTCGGGTTTCTTAATGTATTGAAAAAGAGAAACGAAAAATCCGTTGAATTACACCCAATATCGATTTATTGGCTGCGTCACAACGAATGAATGTTATAGACAAAAAAAAAATAATAAGGAAAAACTTTATTTTCAATATTTTCATTTTGATTAAGGAAAAGCACATTTTCAATATTATTTTTCATGTTCTTATAGTTTTTTTTTTGCTTTTATTAGATGAGGGGGGTAACAACATGAAAGCGAACAGTTTTTTGCATCAATTTTTCACCAAAGTTTAATTTGAGCCAAATATGTGATAAATTTCCAATTCAAAACTGTTCACGATCATGTTGCCCCCCCCCCCCCCCTAAAATAGACAGAACGCTCTCATTACACTTATAGTACAACATTCTCTCTCGCATACATCGTAGGGGAAATGATCACATTTATTTTATAAAGTCAAGGACGTTGACATTGACAGAAAAGAACTAATGAAATTTATTTTCGTCTTTATTGCACTTTTCAGAACATTTACCTTCTCGTTGTGCGTCTCGATTATAAGAAAAGCATACACAGACTCAAAAAATTTATACGCTCAGCATGTCTCAACAAACAGGAATCTCTCCATCCAGTAGTTCTGTTCCAATTTCGTCGGCAGAAAATTATCAGTTAAAGTGGAATTCGCATGTATCAAATTTAAACTCAAACATTTCGAGCCTGTATAAGAATGATAAATATGCCGATGTTATGCTGTTCACAAGTAACATTGAGGAAGGATTTTATGGAATTCCAGCACATAAGCTCATTTTAGGATCCTGTTCTCACTACTTTTCGTCCATATTCGATAATAATCCATTGCCAATTAACACCATGATTTATATTTTTCTGCCGCCAGATTTAAGTAAGAGAGCTGTGGCGACACTAATTCAGTACATGTACACAGGCGAAGGTAAGAATAATTATAAAACCCGATCGAGACACATTGAATTGTTGTTCATCCGTCTGTCATGAAGATTGTAAGTTTAGGACCAAGCTAAAGCTACTTTCAGTTACTCTGCAAAGCAGCTGCAGATTAATTTTAAGTATAACATCCACTTGAAAGCCATCTGGATAGTCAATTTCAATGTGGACTTACCGGGAAAGTTTACACAACAATTATAAAATTTTCTTTTAATTCCAAAAAAACAGCAACGGTAGCAAATGACATCTTAAATGAAGTATTAAAAGGTGGAGAGATATTGAAAATTCGAGGCTTATGTAAAGTAAATTCAGGAGCGAGTTCGACCAACTCGAAATATTCAACACCAATCGATTCTGCTCACCATCAACCACAACAAATACATTCGACAACCACGACCAACAACTATCCGCAATCGTACAAATTGATTGAAAGTGGACCTTCAGTCAATGCGTCGCCAATAAAGAGCAATAAATCTACTCCTCGCAATTCAATAGACAAAATTTCTTCAATCCATCCAGACACAAGAAATTCTTCCACATTAAGTCATCATCATCATGTGTTAACGCAAAACGAGTCACCGGTTGTTGTAATGACATCAAATTCAAATCAAGCGTTACAATCTATCGCAGTTAATGGCAGCAGCAATAGTCAACAGCAACATGTTCCACAATCCAATAATTTAATAATTGTTAAGAAAGATATGGCAATAGATCCAGGAGATACAACAGGAAATATTCCAGTCGAGCACTACGGTCTAATATCCTTAAAAATTGCAGCAGCTGTTAAGAAAGCTCAACAACAAAATATCTCAGCAACAGTTAAAAAGTCACCATCGACATCTTCCTGTGAACAGCATCAACGTAGAGCGGATTTCTATCAGATCGATGATAATTTAAGATACGATCCAATTTCATCCCCGACAGCATTTAAAGTTTACACAAGTTCATCGTCGTGTGAAAATTTACAGCAAATTCATCAATCACAGATGTCTGACGATGCTTTAAGGTACACGGAGAAGAAGAAGCGTATAGCACAAAATCAAAAGCCATCATCGTCGTCTGATGGAATTAGGGAAAGCTCAAAGGGAAATAAATTTACGACACCTGAGAATGGACAGTCATTTCAACTTTCAGCAACAGTAGCACCTTCGCATGAGAATAAAAATCAACATTTTCCAGAGGCATTGAGCTTTTTAACAATTAAAGAAGAACCAATTGAATGGACTGAATTCGATAATAATGGCTTAGTCTCACAAATTGGAGATAATAGATCAGATGCTGTCATAATTAAACCTGAAAATCTAGAAGATGTGGAGAGTGCGTTAAGTTCTGAAATGAATGATAAAGTATATTCTCCATTAACATGTGAAGTCTGCAACTTAAAATTTCAAATTCCAAGTGCTTGGGTTCGACACATTGAAAGTCATTCGGAATTGAATCAAGCACAACCAAACATACCAAAAAAGAGAAAGAAAGTCGATGAAGTAAGTGTTTGAAATGTCAATTTAAAGATTTATGAAAGTTGTATATATCTAAACATGTACCATAGGTATCATAGATACAAAATTTATTTTCCATTTCCTCCCTCATTTTATTTCTGCTAATGTAGGAGGAAAATTCGGAGAACATAAATGTTCTATCGTGCGATTTATGTGAGAATATGAGTTTTGCAACGCCAGCTCAATGGGTTCGTCACGTCCAAAATACACACACTGAAACAGAACTAGCAATGTCTAACAATAGTATTTTACTAAAAAAGTAATTAAATTTAATGGTTTTTGCTTTTTTTTTTCGGTGATTTTTAATTCAATTTTATTTAATTAAATATAGAACGAACATTAAGCAACCGAAAGAAAGTCCTGTCGAGAAACCAGCAATTTGTAGTATTTGTAAGAAGGCTTTTCCATCCTATGCAAGCATGCTCATACATAAAAGAACACATTCCGGTAAAAATCTATACAATCTCTCAATTTTATCAGCAATAAAACTTATATCAGATTACATTTTTGTAGAAGAAAAACCATTTGCTTGTGGACAACCGAACTGCAATCGTGGCTTCAACATAAAATCGAATCTTCTGCGTCATATGCGAACTTGTCATAATCAAATTCCATCAAATGAGAATCAGGACAGTGATAATGTTGATTAAAATAGGAACTAAACAGGTATCTTGACAAAATTCTCTCCGAAACAAACCCAAAACATTACCAAACCCACCCATTTTTTGCTACGAATTTCAAGTCAATCGATCTTTTTTCTAAACGAAATGTTATTTTAGGGCTAATTTCTAGTTTTTAGAAATTTTTCAACTCCAAAAATTTAAAATCAAAATTTTTCATAACTTACATTTTTGTATTAAACTTTAGTTTTCAAATGTAAACTCGTGATTATTAAGGAGCTTTAAAAAAGCTTTCCAAAACTATTAAGGAACTGATTTTAAATAAGTTTTAATTAATTTTGAATATGAATTTTTGTAGCTTGAGTAGATTTTTTCAAAGTGAAATGGAATTATGACTGAAATTGAGATATTTCAGGATTGATGATGAAGATATTCGAACAATTAGACAATATTAGCGAACGAAACGAAAGTCATTCGTAACGAGAAAATCATAAAACTCCAGTGAAATTGTTAAATTTTGTAGAATTTTGCAATGTTCTCTAAATCTTTTCTCCAAACTATCAATCCTTGGTATCTCTTTATTGGTTCAAAGGTTTTAAATATATTTTTTTAAAACAAAAATTTTGATTCAAAATTCAAAGCTATCAACAAGAATTCATAACTAATAAAATCCAATAAAATCGTAAAGGGAAAAATTTCATCTTCATAACTCAAACTGTAAGATAAACATACGCGAAATCATAAAAAAACAAAATTCTTTAAGAAATATTTTTCTGCTCGAATATTATTAATTACTTAAAAAAAGTTTTACCGTGTTTCTATTAAGATGCAGCAATATACATAATTTTTAACATTGAGAGTCGTCAATAAAATTTTAAAGAATTAAAAAGTAAACTATTTAAACAGATTCATAAGTGGAATTAGACTTGATTTTGAGATTGAATCACATCAAAACTAATTCCACTATCTCACAAACAATAATAAAATTCCATTTTATTGTTCCAAAAAAATTGTAGATTTTTTCCCAATACATGAAACATTTAAAAGTAGTTTGAAGAGAATTTTTAAGAAGAATTGACTTTTGAGTCTAAAAAAATGAACAGATAGGTTGATACAATTTTTGATGAGATTTTTTATTCTCCCATCCTTACTATATGATAATATTTATAATCTATAGCTAATAATAATATTAATCTGTCTATGTGTCGTCTTTTAGGGCTTGATTAAGCCGAGATGAATAATCTTGTTTCTGAATAATTTGAAAATTATTAAAACTTTAAAGTATACTTTTGAATTGATTGAAATTGGAAGTTTATATGAAACAATTTGATCAGATATGAAGTAATCTAAATCCTTTATAAGCCTGAAAACTTTAATCTATTTCAGTGAAGTTTTATTTTTATTTTTTTTAAAAAACATTTGGTTGCAAGGAACAGATCTGTTATAGATTCCTTGAATGTTTGTATCAATAAATACCAAATCAATCAGAATATTGTTGATTAAAAATCTACAAATCTCTTAAGTCTGCTTAATGATTTGAAAACTCAAAAATTTTCCTAAAATCTAGAATCTTTAGATTATTTGGATTTTTCGCAGTCATTCAGCATTAAAGAAGCTATTATCAGTTTAATGGATTAATTAAATTATAGTAGTAATATCCTTAAAACATTTAAATTGAATCATCTCAGGAACCAGTATTAAAACAATACGGTAGATTTAATAAAGTTGTAAAATCCAGAACAAGACAATTCATCAAAGCTTAATCAGTCAGAAATTCTTTTATATACAGATGAAGAAACTCATTGTAACAATCTCTTTAATTTTTTTATCGAAGAAAAATGAATAATATATTTAAAGATTTTTTTTCTAATAATATGAAACTAAGCAAATAAGAACAGAAAAATCTATTTTTAAGATGACAATTTTCTTGAGACGAATCTTTACTGAACAAAAAAAAATGAAGTATGGAAAATAATTGCAACTGAATTTACTTACTGTGTTTTTAATAAATTCTTTTTAAATGAACTAAAATCTATTAAAACTGAAACAACAAGGAAAAAATTTTGTTGTAAAATCGAAAAACAACAATTTGTAAATATTATCTGTGATTAAATGTGTTAAAAATTAAAGAACATCTTTTATTGCATAAAAATAAGACATAAGATTCTTGATTTCAGTTAAGTAAATAACATTTTAGTAAGTAGCAGTAGAAAATTGAGTACATAGTGTTGTAGATTCCTTTATCATTTCAGGATAAACGCAGTTTCTTAGGCGGAACTACCCTGTATTTTAAAATAGTTCAAATGAGGCTTTAATTGTTTTATTTTAATAATGATTATTATTTTTTTATTTATGAATTCATAGTTAAAATGGGAAATGGAGTTACATAGGATTTTGTTAGTAAATGAGTAAAATAATGTCCATAAGCATTCATAAAATTAATCATGGCTAGAAAATCTCCACATAATGACCTACTTAATATTTAAAACTTTCATGTTGATGACATAACTTTATGAATGCTCTAATCGTTAAATTTTGGATACTACACGGTTAGTGAGGAGTTATTTTAAATGAACACAAAAAATTAATAATTTAATAAGGGTTTGGCTTGTTTACACTGTGGAGTATCCAAAAGTTTAAATGATATAATGTATTGTCCAAAACCATGAATTGGAAAGGAGTTTGGTGTACTATAAAAATAGTATTCTATGGTGTCAAGTAACAGTAAAACGTTGAAGTATTTGATAGATATGAAATTCGAGTCAACTTATGGCATCAACTTACGCTAAAAAATCATAATCAGGTGTGCCTGCGAGTCTCAAAGATGCATATTTGAAATGATCTTCTGGTGAAATGTAATTCTCTTTTACGGCTTTGTCTTTTTGCATTTCATCTTTCCATTTCAACAACTCAGAAAAGCGCACCTTATCAAGCTCATATTTATCTCCGAGTATGAACTTCATTGAATCTGTAATTATTAATGACATAAATGATTTAAAACATAGACATGCATGACAAGATACATACCAGAACGCTCACACCACGGCCAGATCATATAATCCAACATTCCAGGTCTTTGACCCCCGAAAAATTTTGTCTTACGTTCCCTCAATTCCTTCTCATAAAGATCTAAAGCATTCGTTAACTCAGTTATAGCTCCAGGAGAACCGCTCTGATTGCGTTGGAAAACAATTCGATAGAATGGAGTTATAAAGCTATCAAATCGTTCAACTAAGATCCTATCACGTGCTTTCTGCAATGGATCTTTCGAATGCAGAGGATGTTGAGGATATTTCTCATCAAGATAATCAGCGATGATCAATGACTCAATTAAAGATTCTCCATGTCCAGGAATTTCTAAAGCAGGCACTTTCGTTAATGCAGACACTTTCTGAAGCCATTCCGGTTTCTCAGTGAGATTTATGTAAGCAACATGATAGGGAATGTTTTTGGCATCCAGCACCAAATGAGCTCGTTGAGCATACGGACAAAATTTCATCGAGTACAGACGAAGTTTGCCGTCATCAGGAAAGGCTGGTTGGTGAGAACCTGAACAAATGAAACAATCATTTGAATTAGATTAATTGTGTCAATAAACTTGATATTTCTGGATTGCTCAATTTATAAACAGGTAAGTACTTAAAACTCTTTAAAGTTTGATAAGATTAAATTTTAATCAATTCAATCACTGTCTGAGGTAAAAATGTTCATTGTCATTGTGAATAGTAAAAAAGAGGTTCAAAAATCGATAAGAATGTTTTGTCTATGTACACGGAATTATTTCAAATTAAACAACTTGACAATGGAAGAAAAAAAAATTTTAGAATGCCGGCGACGGCTATGACATCATATTTATATATAGCTTATATCTAATATCCACACAAATTTAATGTTTAATTGATAATTTTTTGACTTACCTTTTGCCAAATGTACATTACTCATTTCGAATGGTAAAGTACTTGTTTCCTCGGTCGACCTTAGCCAGTAAATGATGAAAAATTTATTATTTTAAGAGTTCACACTGAAAATTGTTGATCAAAAAGCTCCTGAAGTGCTTTTAAAAAGTGCGCAACTTTTGATTTTTTTGTAAATTTTGAAAATTAATTTTTTAAACTTTATTAAGATTTTAATCATTTGATATTTTAAAAATCTTATTCATATTTCTTTGAGGAACTTTGTTTAATAACTTACTGTATTTAATCTTGGTTAATTCTTTACATAAATTAAGTTATTCTTGATCAGATAAATTTTGTTGTTGTTTATCAGCTGAATTTTTCAAAAAACCTTATTTTAAACCGTTAAACTTAATTTGTGTTTTTTTTTTGCTATATTATTTGAGTTGAACTTGGAATTAAGGATTTCCGAAAAATGATCAAAATTTTAAAGTTTTCAATTTTGACTTAAGTATTCAAAATTTTGTATTATAAGCATTAAGATTCGCAACATAAGTTATCGTTAATTGAATTAGTCATATATCTGATCCTGACAAAATTTTGTTTGATTATCCCATTGTTGATACATTTGCAGCAGGTAAGACAATTTTGAGTCAATATTTTAAGTTTCTTTCTAAAAACTGACCTGAGAAAATCATTAGACAATTTATCATCTGAAAATTGATGCCGAATCATTTGCACTAAACATCCAGGAATCAAAAATTATCTAATTAATTTTATAGCAGTGGCAATGACACATTACTCGACTGTTGCAATTTGCAAAATTCAAAACAAAAAATTAAAAATAACAAATTAAAACACACACAGTAGTAACAGAAATAAAAGGTAAATGATCGTGATCGATAATGACCATGACCTATGATAACATTTTAATGTCTGAGGTAGCTGAAATTTCCTTTTTGTGAATTTAAAGAATGATTTGTTTTTTAACTATCTAGAATAGGCATTACAGGACATCTGTTGTGTGCGCGTATGGTAATGTAGGAAATGAAGCATGAGATCGTTTAGAAGGTTTATTGAGAGACATTTTGACATTTCCATATCAATTTTATTGAATTACTAGGAAAAAGTTCAGTTATTTCAAATGGAAAAGGTTGTTTATAGTCAAAGTTTTGTTTTATAGAATAATTAATTAATGCAACGGAAATTAAGAATAGAACAAACAGTCAAATTCAAAGAATTAAAATAGAGAACTAATCAAACTCTTAGAAAATGACGCACAAAAAACCTTTAATATTTGAAAATCATATTTATAAATGAAAAATAATAAAATTCAAAATTTCAAGTAGATTTGAAATAATTTCTAAAATAATAAACAAAAACATAAATCTGAAACTTATGCTACAGATGTAACGGACAATTTCGAACGCTGACAAGTTGAGAACAAATACAATAGCAATCGTGTGCCTGAATTGCTGCTGTATACTACAAATGTATTAGTGCTGAATATATTTTTTTTCACATTCGAAGTAACAAAAATTTTTTGTGCTGAACTTAGTTATTTTCCATCTGTGAGACATTAAACAAGTGTAAAAACTAGTTCTTCATTTCTTTTTCAAAATTTTAATTATTTTATGGAAAAATTGAAAAGAAATTAGACAGAAAAAAATTTCACTTATAACCAAAAGTAACTTACAGATGGTTTAAACTCGTATAAGTAATTTAATAGATGAAAGAAAGAAAGAATTAAAAAATATAATTTTTTAAACAAATTTAGTTTTAATTTTTAACTAGACTTGGAAATTACATGAAAAATTTGTAAAGCTGTTTTCTATTTGCTTTTCGTGAAAAAAGTGCATTATTCCATATTTCTGTCTTATTGTAAAGGCAAATAACATAAAAGAAAAAAAAATAAATCGTGAGGAAGACATAAAAATTTCATCATAAACTTTTTTCAGTAATTAAAATTAAGAAAAGTTATCAAAGCAATTAAAAAAAATCTAATAGTGTGCATCAATAAGTGTGATTTATGTAAATTCTATCAATATTGGATTACTTTTTACAACAAAAAGGAAATTATAACGAGACGAAAATTCTGCAATATTTTATGAAAAAAGAAGAAAGAAGAGAGAAAAAAAATTACAGCTCACATTTTTATAAAAACCAGCCACCTTTAAAACATTATTTTTTGTGATAGTCTTTTAGTGTGTGCGTTTTGTGTATATGTTTAGAGCTGCTTTTTCCAGCCAAGTGAATTACACTTAGTGAGATTAAAATAATAATATGCCACAGTAAAATAAAAGTTCCAAAAATATCAAATAAGAAGTATAAAAAAAAGAGTTGAAAAAAAATGAAAAGCAATTGTTAATAGTAGCAACAAGCAGTTACAGAGAAGAAAATATAAAAAAAAGAAGTAGTAACATCAGCAATCAGTAAAATAATAATAATAATTAGAAGAAAAAAAGAAATTGGAATATAACAGTTCATTTTTATTGTTGTGGCTTTTTTTTATTTTTACACCCGGGAATTACAACTTTTTTGTGCTACCAATTAGCAATTTTCACTGTAATATCTCAAGTTCTATCGCGAAAAAAATTAGAATAGAAGCAAAGAAAGGAAGGAAAAGCTGTTTCTTACCCAAAACAAGGAGAATTAAAATTTAAAGCTGGGTTTATTTGGTTATGGACAACAGTCAGCAGCGCTTCTGATGGCGGCAGTTGGCCCTAGTCACAGATCGCGGGTCTCGATGTCACTTCAAGGAGGAGGGGTGGCTCAATCAGCCACTGGAACCGTTTTGGGTAAGTTACATCTATCAAATCTATTGAACCATCATTTAATTGTGGATTATTATCAATAGCCGCAGCTGCTCCCTATTATCAGCCTCCCAACATCCCTCAAGATGTACAGCCTGACCGACCAATCGGTTATGGTGCTTTCGGAGTTGTTTGGTAAGTTTCACTTTTAATAATTATTATTATTATTTGTCATCAAACTAGACTCAATATGCATTTTCAATTACACAATTATGACTATATATGCTATAGAGATTAGAAACGTTGCAGTAATTGTAAAACATCACTACGGGGTGTATTGATTCATTTAATTATCTATTCATGATTTCAAGTTTTCATTTTTTTTTGCTCTCCTCTCAGTCATCAATTTTCTAATCCAACATATCCGTTTGCCATTGTTAATATGACTATAAAAGAGTAGTATGGAAGCTGAATATATTTTAAAAGGGTTTTAGTGATGATTGTGAGACATTTCATTAAAATTTTTCCCAGATTTTTCATTCCTCTCCTACAGCATAGTGCTCAACCTCCCCATTATAATGTGTCGCATATATACACACATAAGTATACTTTATTTTATTTGTTCATGCATCGATTTCAACATTACTGTACGGTTACGTACAGAGTTCAATGAATGGGCCCTGATGTGATGTGTTTTATGCTCAGTAGACGGTTTTATTTTCCATACATTTAGTTCTTTTGCGTTTGAGGGAAGAAACAAAAAGCCGTTTGCTGTTGATGTTAAAAATTATTTCCCTTCATGCCTGCTTTCTGTATTATGTTTTCCTCCCCTACATGTTTGCAACAAAAACTATGCTTTTTTTCCTGTATTGTAAAAGGAATACAATGATACGCATTCTAAATACATTCAAATGTTAGCCTATTACTTTTTCATTCTCAGTTAAAATCTAAACGTTGCTGCTTTATACTTTATTTTTTGGGAAGTTCAATGAAATTTTACACAAACACAACTTTATTGCGATAATAATTTTCACATTTTATACCGACAAGATAAGTATAAAAATTAGAATTTTAACGGTGCGTTGCGAACACAGCGCGCGTTTTGAGTAGAAAGGGCGAAGGCGAAGAACATTTTCTCTGTGCTGATATTATTGTACGGTATTCAACATGAATATTCACATACCATTGATGATAAATATTGCTATGTCGAGTTAATTGAATGTGGCAAGTAACCTTCTTTTCTGCCAGCACACTCCAATGGAGTAAGTTTATAATACAAGAAACGATAAAAAAAAATTTAATTTAACGATGAGAACGAATGGATTGCTTTTAAAGGTAAATCTTGAAGGTATGAAAGAATAAAGTGCATTTAAGGTGCATACACCGACTTGCTTTTCCGTCATTCACTCAAGCAGGGAAAATGTGAATTCTTGTTTCTATCTTTTGACAAAAGAAGGCTCCTTTAAACATCCTTAAAATCTCTAAAAGAAGCATAAAATAGAACAAGATATAAAATGTGCGTGTATATGTGCGACATAAAAGAGGAAGACAAATGAATCCTTAAACATTTTTTAAAAATCATCTGCCTGTTTTTATGGCACAGATGAAATGAAATACAACAAATGTTTAAAAATCTGGATATTCTTTTTTTTTTTGTTCATTTTTCTTCATTTCGGGATGTGTGTACATACACAAAAACCTGTTGTTGATGGAAATATAGAAAGAGAGAACTAAAAAACTTTAAAAAATGAAGCATGACAATCTGTATTTATTCATATTGAAATGGGTACATGAAGAGCTAACGAGAAATAAATAAAGAACTTCGATTTTGACTGTAAAGTTTTTTTAAAAAAAAATGGAACATTTGGTTGAAGATGGTGCCAGCAATTCAACATTTTTTTTTATTATTACTAAATCTACTTTGAAAGGGATTAAATCATTTACCAAGATGTAAACATTTATCATCGTCTGATACATCATTGAATATTTTTTTTTATAAATAGATGATACATTTTCAAGTTTAATATGATTATGTTTTATAGTCCACTCCAAGTTCTTTTAATTTTTTTTTTTTTATAAATTCTCAAATTAAATTGATGTTGGTTCCACTAAATGAATTAAAAATTATCTCATCTCTTCCATTTTCATCAATTCTCAATTAAGGGTTTTTATTGACTAGAAGGTATGAGAATTAAGAATTGGAAAGAACAAGAAATATGATTTTTTTATGTACAGCCATTAAGTTAACTTTAATGCTATTCAAATGTAATGCTTCTATGTCATTTAGTTCTGCTTCACTCCATGTGTCGTTTGGAGTAAATAATTTTATGGTAATTTATATAAAAGGATATGAACTGAAAGGCTGTGACATACTTTTTATTTGATAACGTGATGAAATTTTTATGATATAGCACAATTTATCATGTTATAATGTTAAAGGATATTTGTTGTCATAATTTGTATTAAAATTTATGCAGATAAGAACAAAATATGCTTCCTTAGTACGTAGTTTTGTGAATGGAAGGAATATGATGTAGATATGCATTGCATTTTAATTCTAATTGAATAAACAAAAGCACGAGAAAATTCATTCCGTATTCGCAATCGTAAATTTATTGTATTCTTAATTCTATAGCAGTTGTAAGAACAAAAGGCTTATAATATTGTCGCGGATATTATGATGCATGGCTTAATGTTGAAACCACAAATAATTTATAGATTTTGATAACAAAACAGCATGAAGAAATAAATTTTTTACTATTTAGACTTTATATGCTCTCTCAATTTATTTATTATCACACATATAAGTATAAATGCTTACTGTGTACATGTTTGTTCGACAAAAAAAGCATAAATGATTGATAAAGTTTGAATGGGGGATTATCCATACTAGACTCTATAGCAGTAATACACTAACAATTGTGATTGTGTTTGTGTACAATAAAGCATATCAATCTTCTTCTATGGCTGTCGCTGTATTATATGTGAAACTTAGAGTATGTGCACATCATAAGGATGTTGGAAATATTTATGACATCTAATTTTTGATTAAAATCATATTTCTATGAAATTATGTGCTATTTATATTATCAAGTCTCGGTGGAAAATATAAAAACGTATCAAGCGCATTTGTCTTAATTACACTCCCCATTGTAATCTTAATTCTCTTGATGTATGTGTTTCAATGCAAACAGCGTTAGGGTTGTTTGTAAATGATGTCTATTATAATTTTGTATTTTAAAAGGAAGTTCTTCTGCTGATTTTTGAGCTTGAAGTTGTCTAGAGTCGACTAGAGTCGAGCAGACTTGAAGTTGTTTCTCCGTCGATTAGATTGATTTTTAGGCTCAATTTCAAGTTAAGTCAACTCAAAATAATAAAGTTTACTCGGAATCAACTACATCTGGAGCTCAGAGGTTAATTTCTTTGGCTTTTTGGTTTCTAGGTAGATTACTGGAAGTTAATTTAAATGATTTGAAGCGAATATGAAACAATATTCCTCAAAGTTGCCTATGGACTGGCTTATAGGTCGGTTAGCTCTTGAGTTCCTTTAAGGAATGTAAATTAGGGTGGTCCCATTTATTTGAACAAATATTTAAGAATCTTAGACCCTCAAATATGTATAAATTGCCCATCATTTATGAAAGTTCCCAAACAAAGCAAATAGAAAGAATTTAATTTATGCCATTTCATTTCTTTTCCTTGTTTGCCGTCTCTTAATGTTCAAAAAAAAAAACAAAGAATTTCATGGAGTGAAAATTTGTCATTAATTTTAAAATGTGCCTCATTGTTTCCATGAAATCATTTTCTGTGGTTTCAGTGCGTGAGGAAAAGATAGTATTAATACATAGCATAGCTAATGAGTATGTGGAAATTTGTTTAACATAATTTCTATCTAAGCTGCTGAAGTTTATTTATGTTGGGTGGAAAAAAATAATTAATTAATTAATTTTCCTCAAGTCGGTAATTAGTTGAAAAATTTCAATGCTTTTAATCTTTCACACCTTAATTATTGGATAATTTTAATATTCTTAGACATGTCCAAAATATATATATTTTTACGGTCTTATCGACCTCTCTCACACCTCCATGACGCCTAAAAAGTACATGACTTGCTGCTATCAATCAATCAACGTGTTAATACATACTATTGAGGTATGATGAACATTCAATTTTTTTCCTCTTTTTACTCTACACACTCGTGTGTACATGTACTTACTGCTGGAGAAAAAAAAAATCGGCATATAATGAAAGTAAATGTTATGATATGAGATCAACAAACTCACTTCTGACCCATTTATGTTGGTAATTTATTTTTTTCTTTTATTGCAATTTTTTTATAGTTTTTTTATTCAATCAGATATGAATGAAGTTTAGAAACATATAGACTTAAGATGAAAATAGAAACTCAATAACTTATTAGAGCAGCACAAAAATAGAAAGAGATATAGATGGATAGGAAAAAGAAAAAAGAGAGAATGAAGGAATGATTAAACTTGTATGATTTCTAAGTAAAAACTATCATATGTTATGCAAAAAAAATAATAAAATTCACTTTTATTTTGTCTCAACAGTTTGCATGTGAACTACTATAAAGGAGAAGCCGGATGCGGTTAATTAATTTTTCTTTCTTTTTATACAACTCGGCTCACTCATGCTCACATGTCAAATATATAAAATAAAGGAATTTTCGAGTAATTTGCCATCGTCTGGAGTAGATTCTTAAGTCTTTAATGCATTCTAACAAAGTTTCTCTTTATGGTTCGTTCCTTTTGTGCATCTACTCGTCCACAAATTTTATTTCATTTCTAAAAAATCGGGAATTATAATTTTTACCTGACTAAGGTGTACAAACAAGTTTTTTTTTTTGAAAGATTTTTATTTTATTTTTTTTTTTGTCAGAGAGACACAACAGAAAATTATTTTATTGCTATGCTATATTGAATCGCACCGACACATGCACTTTTCTTAGTGCTGCAGAAGAAGCAGAATGAGCGGTTTTTTTTCATTCGTCTTCCCAATGATTATGTCTTTCAACCGTACGAGACGATAATAAAATAAAACCTAGGAATGAATAGGGATCGTTCATAAATGATGTCTGTTAATAAGTTTGATTTTTCAGACACAATTAAACTTAATTAAAGTTTCTTATCGGTGACATACTCCTCATCCACATTTCGTTCCCTGATCAAAAATTA